CAATGGAGTCGATTGTCAACCGTCAACTCCTACGATACTTAGAAGTGAACCAGTCGTCGTTCTGATCGTCAGTATGGCTTTCGCCAGGGTCGCTCAGCTGGTGATCTTCTAGTGTATTTGACACATCGATGGGCAGAGGCTATTGAGAGTAAGGGGGAGGCCCTATCTGTTAGTCTGGATATTGCGAAGGCCTTTGATCGGGTTTGGCACAAAGCTCTTCTTTCAAAGCTACCATCCTTCGGGTTGCCTGCGAAGTTATGCAAATGGGTCGCCAGCTTTCTCGCTGATCGGGCTATCAAGATCGTTGTCGATGGTGCTTGCTCCGACCCACACTCTGTGAATGCTGGTGTTCCACAAGGCTGTGTGCTGTCTCCGACTCTGTTCCTTCTGCATATCAATGACATGTTACAAATCAACAACATTCATTGCTATGCGGATGACAGTACCGGAGATGCCTTGTACAGCGGCCATGCTAATATGTCGCAGGTAAAAGTTATAGAGTACCGGAACAAACTTGTGTCCGAAATCGAAACTTCACTCCATCAAGTTTCGGTTTGGGGTCAGGAAAATTGTTTTCAATTCAACCCCAAGAAGACACAAGTTTGCGCGTTTACCGCTAAAAAGAATCAATTTATCGTATCTCCTCAGTTTCAAGACACTCTCCTTGATGTGAAGCCAAATCTCGAGGTCCTTGGCGTTGATATATCCAGTGACGTTCAGTTTTGCGGTCATTTGGAGGACAATGCTAAAATAGCCTCAAAAAAGCTTGGTGTGCTCTACTGAGCACATCAAGCTTTTTTGAGGCTATTTTTATACTATTTAATAGAGTACTCAGTAGAGTGAGACGGTATTTCACGGCGGCCCATCGCTTATAATTATACAAGGCGCAGATCCGGCCGCACATGGAATACTGTTCTCACCTCTGGGCGGGAGCACCACAATACCGCAGCTGCAAGTGCCACGTGATTCGCAACGCCAGCGGAAACTACCAGCACGATTTGGTTTATAGAGACTAGAAGCTTTGTTTTCCTTTGGGAGGGAGTAATGTGGTATAATAAATACTTTTTATAGACCGACGTCATATTTATTATTCATCTAGCTGATTATTGACATTGTAGAAAAACACGAAACTATGTCACTATATTCGTAATATATTAAATATATTCCTCAATTACTGTATTTTAAAACAACAACTGCTGTCAAATGTTTTATGTTAGGAGTATGAGTTGTATATACGACCTAATTGTCTGTGTATCGATGACGATGTCGTTGTTTAGCATCTTGTTGATTGTAATCTGTTTATTCTGCTTATTTAATTTATTTAATACAACATACATTCATCACTAATATTCGCTAAAAATGAATATGGAATGTGGTCATTTCCTGGAGATGAATCTTTCGTATGAGACAGAACGGTTCTAAGTTCCGTAAATGTAAATATAGGAGGTAGAGATGATAATTTATTTTGTACACCAATTTGGAATTTATCCCAATTATTATTATTATTTAACTTATGTTTGTAAAAAGATTTTTTTTTCGAGGATGTTTTTTTATGAATTGGTAATGAAATGATAATAGGAAAATGGTCACTCCCATATGCAGATGAAAGTATAGACCATGATAGAGAGGAAGATAAATTGGAAGAACAAATAGAGAGATCTACAGCACTATTTCTTTCAGTGGGAGCAGTAATACGAGTAGGTACTGGGTCATTTAAAACACACAGATTATCAAGAAGGCCTAACAATTGCTTACCATGGTGATTAGAATAGGAGCTGCCCCAAGCTTGATGATGGCAATTGAAATCACCCATAATTAAAAAATGTTTAGGAAGAATTGAAAATAACTCATTTAAATATGCAATAATTGAAGAGGAAGGACGAGGTATATATACAAAGGGAGACTAAACAAATGTCGCTGACAACAGCAGCAACCATAGAAATATTGTTTTTGTCTATAAGAGGTAAAGAAATAGAAGAAAAATGAGTAGCTTTGTTGATGAGTAAGGCAGCCCCACCATATCCATCTGGCCTATCATCTCGAATACAAGAGTATTCTGATAATTTGAAATTAAAATCAGGTTTAAGCCAAGTTTCAGTTAGTGCAATAACAAGGGGTTGTTGATATTTATTGATTAAATGAATTAAAACATTTTTTTTGCTAAGTACACTTCTGCAATTCCATTGGACTACTTGGTCCATTATGGACTAGATTTTTGAATATTTCTATAAATGGGGCAACGTGGGACGGTATACATAGATATTATTTTAAATAAATTCAAAATGGAACAATGTAAAGCTGCTGTCACACCTATTGAACCCGGTTTGACATTGAAACCTAATAAAGATAAAAAACTAGAATTACCGTATCAAAACTTGATTGGTACACTGATGTATTGCGCCGTGGCTACTAGACCTCATATTATGTACTCCGTAAGTTATCTATCTCAATTCAATGATAGCTATGATGAAGAACATATTAAATGCGCAAAAAGAATTTGAAGATACAAAAACTATTGGTTTAAGATTTGAAAAGAAAGGCCCAAATAATTTATATGGACTGGCAGATGCTGACTGGGGTGCAGATAAAATGGACAGAAAATCATTTTCTGGATATTGCTTTAAATATGCTGGCTCATGTATTAGTTGGTCATCAAGAAAACAGAAGTGTGTAGCACTTTCAACAGCCGAAGCTGAATATGTCTCATCTCTGAAGCTGCTACAGAGGCAATCTACTTAAAAAGACTATTTGAAGACTTGGGCATTTCGCAACAAACTGTTGTAATATTTAATGACAACCAAGCTGCGCTAAAGTTGAGTGAGAATCCGATAATCACATCGAAATCGAAACATATCGATTTAAAACTACACTTTATTCGTGATAGTGTTAAAAAGGGAGTGATCCAAGTAAAATATATGGACACAAAAACGATGGAAGCTGAATTACTCACTAAAGGACTACCAGGACCAAGACTATCACAACTGAGAAATTGTCTGGGCATCACAATCTAGTAATAGTGTTGTGAGAAGGAGTTTGTTGGTGACACTGGCACATCACTACTCACTCGATCGCCGCTTTTATATGAAAAATAATATTGTCAAAAAAACTATATTGTACATTCATAATATTATATTAACAAAATAAACTATTTACATAAAACAAGTCGTTTTTCCATCGATCAAGCACATCAAAGATCTAATGATGGATATATTATTAAGGTTGAATAGCGCTAGTATAAAGTCTATGACTAGAGTGGTTACTAGGGCTACCCTCCTTGTTTATTGTCACTCTCAAAAAAACTGAAAAAGTGTATGTCATATACGTATTACATAAATTGTAAATAATAGTGTCTAAAGTGTTCGTGTCGTGTTGTGTACCTACTCGCCTGATCCCTTCCAGTGTGTAATACCCGTATCTGCTTCCGTCTCCACCGCTTACGATATTTGAATATCTGGTAAGCCACTCTAGTTATATTATATATAACATTAAGTCAGAAAGCCTATACAAAGAAATTACTAGAATAATTTCACATGTCTGACTCCAAACCAGCTTTAACATCAATAATAAAAGAAAACAGTGAAGATACGTCCCTAGATGAAAGCAAATTTCCTTATCGCCAGGCAGTTGGAGCACTGTCATATTTAATGGTAGGGACAAGACCATATATTAGTTACGCAGTGAGTGTTGCCTCCAGAAATTTAGAAAAACCAACGAAATGGGATGTTATTGGAGTAAAAGAATACTTCGCTACCTGAAAGGATCAGTAGATAAGGGGCTAACATTTAAACCTGATATCACAGGAAATTTAAATTGTTACAGTGATGCAGATTTCTGTGGTGATCAAGAAACTTGTCACTCTACCACAAGAATAATATGCCTTTACTCAGGGGTTATAAGTTGGAAAAGTCAAAAACAAGGAATAGTAGCCTTATCTTCGACAGAGGTTGAACTTATGGCTGCTACTGAAGCAACCCAGGAAATTATTTGGCTAAAAGAGTTACTATCTGAATTAACGGAGCTAGACAAGCAACCAATTCTCTATGTGGACAATGAATCTGCAATAAAATTAGCTCACAACCCTGCATATGAATATCATAAAAGGACAAAGCATATCAAGCGCAAGCATTTTTATGTCAGGGAATGTGTAATCGACGGGCATCTATTAGTGAAGCATGTCTCATCGGAATATCAACTAGCCGACATGTTCACGAAGCCACTCTACAAACCAAGATTAGAAGAACTGTCCTCACGCATGAAATGAGTAGCAGCAGCTATAAAAAGAAGACGATGTTAGGAGTATGAGTTGTAGATATACGACCTAATTGTCTGTGTATCGATAACGATGTCGTTGCTTAGCATCTTCTTGATTTTAATCTTTTTGTTTTGCTTATTATACGTATTTAATAATTAATATTGCTTTTTGTTCTCAACTTTAATATTTTATAAATGCAAAATATTAAAATAGGTACTCTATTTAAAATTCTCATTTCTCGACTATATTGTTAAGATTGAATAGCGCTAGTATAAAGTCTATGACTAGAGTGGTTACTAGGGCTACCCTCCTTGTTTATTGTCATTCACAAAAAAACTGAAAACTGTGTGTTATATACGTGTTCTATAAATTGTAAATAATAGTGTTAAAGTGTTCGTGTCGTGTCGTGTACCTACTCGCCCGATCCCTTCCAGTGTGTAATACCCGTATCTGCTTCCGTCTTCACCGCTTACAATATTTGGTAAGCCACTCTAGTTATATATAACAAAGTTTTTTTTATAGTTACCTTTATTATAAGATTTTAAACTGGGTGTTTGTGGCCCATTTATAGTAATGAATAACTGGTATGAATAAATTCTGATAGGTATCTATTTTTCTATATCTACCAAAAAAACAAGATTATATTCTTTTTCATACCATAGAGGTTTCATAGCGAATTTTATAGGAATGTACCTATACGTCATATATGCTTTCTGTGTTGTACCTACCTATTGTTTTAACAAAATATTACAATAATATACTTTTGTTGCAAGACATCATTATCAGTAGTAATAAATATGGTATCCGATGATCTATTGACCTTAAGTTGTTGTCAGTGAGTATATGAAATGAGCTCAAACGCGTTACATTCAAAGAACAAAACGGACGTTATATCGAAGATGAATGTATCCAAAGACAGATCGGAAACTAATATAAACAAAGTGACTAAGACTATCGTCACCTCATCTAAAATATACAAGCCTGTCGGACCCTACAGGTACATATACCTACATTTATTTTCTGTAAATACAAAGTAATGCATACCATACGAGTATACCTATGTAGATATTCTAATAAATTTTGTCCGTCTTGTATTTGTGAATAGATTGTTTGTAAATGTGATGCTGATGAAATATTTGATTAATATATGTGTATCTGATCTTTGTGTCTAATAAGGGGTAGTTATATATTTTTTTAATATCGAGTACATTTATACACTACACTATATTATTCTTATAAAGTCGTTTGTCCTGACTGACTATCAACTCACAGAAAACTATTAGGTATATATATAGAAAGTTGAATTTTGGAAGATAGGTATCTGTTTATTTTATAACATAGGTATCCGGGGGGGAAGGGGATTGTTAGTAATCTGGACTCATGACCCCATTACTAGCAATGTACCATGTCAGGTTGACCTCCACGCGGTTCACCCTGGAAACCATCGTGATATATGGGCTAACTGACCTGACCTCGTGTTCATCTGATCATCCTCCACTGGTACCCCGCCAGCGTATACCGTTAGCATAGGCGGGTGCACCATTTCCATTATCATCAAATAAAAATAAAATAGGTACCCGCTAACAAAGAATTTTTAACTGCACGAACACTGACAGAACGATAGTGGACAACGGTACTTATAATTTTTATTTAAACTTTTCTAGTTTATACATATTTATTCGATTTTTTGTAATAATTACCTATAACTTATGAAATTACAGATTATTATGTATGTGCGTACGTACATATCTCTAAGTCGTATTTATTTAGGCATTTTTATATAGGTAGGTATAGGTGTAATTTATAATTCTTTCTTTTATTTGTTTGTACAGTGTGTGGTGTAATAATTATGAATGGAAAATTATTGTATATGACATTATCATTTTTCTTTTAGTAAAGTAACATCAATGGCTATTTAGGACCAACTTCCGCAGATTGCTTTATCTATGATAATGTTGGATTATTAATTAGTCAGAATTATTAAAATTAAGTGTTATTTTTTGTATTGACTGAGTGACTCCACCCAAGTGGTACTATAATACTTTTCTCTATCTAAATTTCTCTTTTCTATCTCTAAGTCTAAATTCTGAATTGAAAACTGACTGCCGGCCCACCTGATGGTAAGTTACGCCCATGATGTGCTTGATATGTTAGCATTCCAAAGGACTAAGGTGTCATGTACAAAATCTTTGTTGCAAGTCAATAGATTCGTGCAATATGTATAATATTAGTTTAAATAACTACAGAGTTACTATAAAATAACTACAAACACATATTGTTTGTCAATTCGGCACAGAATTGGTAGAACGTAAAGCTGGTCATATAGGATTCCATCACGATTTTTTGTCTTTTTATTTTACAGTCAGGCTATATTAGCGGATAAGACTCTCTATGTATCAGGGGTGCTAGGTTTAGACGCTGACGCTCAGTTGGTGTGTGGAGGAGCCGAGGCGCAGGCGAGGCAAGTCCTTGATAATCTAAAGCACGTGCTCGAGGCAGGCGGTGCGTCTCTGGAATCTGTCGTTAAAACAACCATACTGCTTGCCAACATGGATGACTTTCAAGCTGTTAACCAAGTTTATGCAGAATGTAAGTTTTATTTTATCCTATGTTATAAACCACCTTTACAGTCCGTAGTCGTAACTACATATCAATAATAATTTATTTTTTAGATTTTTCAAAAGACTTCCCAGCACGAGCGACTTATCAAGTGGCCAAACTTCCGATGGGTGCTGCTGTAGAGATCGAAGCAATCGCGCTTAGCGGTGACCTAGTGGTAGCCGAAGCGGGCCCTTGTCCTTGTTCACGTATTTAAAATTTGGACTGCCGTGCCAACCACCTTACAGGCGATAGTAATCATTAAATATTAGGACGTTGATAAATGTTAATAAACTCGACTAAACCCAGCAGGTCGATGGTCATTATGAAGTCCGATAGGGCTCGCTTATTACCTTTAATTTTCTCTAAAAATTCTCACTTGTCAGTATTGAAAGTGAACACGGTAAATATTAAATATTGAGAACTTTAACTATTTTTTTTATAGCACTGCTTTCATTTTTGCTTTGATTACTGTCCATATTAGGAGTATAGTATGCGTCAATATTGGAAAAGTCGTCTACTATGGAAATTAGCGATTACACTCCAGACTAGGCCTGTTGTTGTAAACGGAGATTTTAAATATATTTAATAAATTAAAATAATATAATACTTTTTTACTGGGATCCGACTAGTTTTATTGAGCACTTATACCTATATAACCGAGTTCTGTAACCTAAAACAGACTGTGTCTGCTAATCTAGTGACTTATCTGTTGTAGCCTTTTTTTAAGTTGATGACATAAACACCATTGCGCACGTCATAAACACCATTGCGCACGTCACGTCATCATTATGAAGTAATACCCGTAATACCTATGTCCACTAAGATCTCTAAGCCTCTTATCTGATGCTACATATTGGTAACTTTAGCCGGATCTAGTGCAAGCCGGGAGCTTGGCGTGCATGCTCGCTAATTGCGAATAATTACTGGAGCCGCGCCACAGACAAGAAAATACTATTATCTAAAATAGCCGTTCTACCTGCACAAACAGAGCATTTCATTTTAACAGCAGGAAGTTAACGCATATAGTTTGATTTGATTTTATAGACAATCCATCCTTCCGATGAGACTGTGGGTCGGCCTTTATAAAATCAATAAATTTTATAAATAACCTTTAAACGAATCATTCTTGTATGAAGATAGGAGTTTTCAAATCCGTCCTCTCGAAGAGATATAGATATTTATTAGTTACATAATACAAACCATTACAATCTATTTCTGTTCTACGTTATATAACGTATATATATACGTATGTGATTGTATATATATTGATATCATCGAAAATATCTTATAATATTGTAAAAGCGAAAGTTTGTGAGTATATATGGATAGATGGATGGATGTTTGTTACTTCTTTCACACAAAAACTACTGAACGGATTTTTATGAACGTTTACAGTAATATAGCTTAAGTATCAGAATAATACATAGGCTACAAATTTCATGTGGATGAAACCATGGGCACAGCTAGTTAAAGGGTAGTCTCCAGTTATCTTTGTTCAAATTATGCTTCTAATACAAGTCCATTCACCACGCAATTTGCGTCTCCTAAGTCGTCGGCCTTAAATTTGAATACACGTCCAGACTTGCGTGCGTGACTGTTTTGATCGTCTGAAAATCTGTAGGTTACCTGTCCACTGATTTACTTATTAGAAAGTATTAGATTTGTGTATTTTTAGTTTTGTCCAAAAGACTTAATTGTATTCAGAATGTGAAAATCATCAAGATCGCAGCGACTAATCTAGAGTACAGAAGACTATGCTCTTTTTTTCATCTAATAATGATAATCAAATATAAAGTAATTTATTCTGCATTACAATAACAGAAACTAACTAATTAATTGCATTACATCAGTATTCTTATCCACAACAATATTAGTACACAACTTAAAACCTAAAATATACTGGTAACTATACCTAAGTACTTGTAAACTTTCAGTCACGGTTCACTTTACCAAATAATGTTAAATTTTATAATATTATAAGGAATCTAGGGTTCAGTAGAAGAAGAATTATTATATACTGCGCCGACCCCACATTATTTTTTTATTTATTTTTATTTAAATAACTTTAATGCACGTCATACATAGGTAAAAAGTACATATGGCGGACTTAACACCTAATGGCATTTTCTACCAGTCAACCATGAGTTGTGCAGAGATAAGTTGTTGGCGGTGCAAACAATAATATATTATTTTATAGAATATACATGAATAAATATATATATATACACATGTAACTACATAAATATTCCTACAAATATACACAAAAATACATATACATATACAAAAATATACCATACACACATAAATATATGACCAATAATCTGACAATGAAATAGTGATTACAGCCGACAGTGTAAGCATATTACAACAGATACAATATGATTCGCCTTGTAGTAGAAATGAAGAAACTTAATGCTAAAGAGAAAAATATATAAAAGATAATAAATAATAGTATACAAAATTATATGTAAAGATAATGTTTCCGCAATCTTCGCTTGAAAGAAATTTTACTCGTGGCAGTCCTGATGTCAAGGGGTAAGTCGTTCCTAAGTTTGATAGCCTGAACGGCGAAAGAATGATGGACAAAACCGGACAAATGTGCCGGGACATGAAGTAAAAATCTTCTAGTTGTGCGAAGGGAGCGATTGGTGTTGTCCCCATGGAAGTGAAATTTACTACTAATATATTCAGGAAAATTAGGATACATACATTATCATTTTATATATTTTGACCACACGGACAATATACATATATTTATATTTTGTATTAATGTCAATATCATCTGTATGTTAGTCTATAAGGTATTAATAGTATGGACCATTAGTAGCCTGAATTAAATGAACAAATAATAAAATTAATGGGTATAAAGGCAAGAAAATGATGATGATTAAAGAATCTGCCGAGAAGATAAACATTTTTTTTAAATATTTGATATTATAACTACGGTAGTAAATAGTAGTGCAAGTATTACAAATTACACATTGTTACATGTTTATAGATGTTGCTTATATTTGCACGTACTTAACAGTCGCCATGCCACAACGCCTTGGATACACACAATCACGTGTCGCCCGTAGTACCTATCCGTCAAGCTCCTTCTAGTTCAAATGGTGGATTGAAAGTTTTTAGTTAGGTAGTTTGTAAATAGATCTTAATATTTCTTTACATATCTCCATAGCTTTCTAAATTTAAATTCCTTTTAAATGCGATACTTCGCCTTAAGGTGTGTTATCGATAAACACGTGAGATATTCGTGTTTATTGTGACCTCAACACGAGAGTTGGTAGCATAACTTCATTTTCTGAATATGATAGTGAATTTCAAACTGACCTAGAGTGGGTGGTCGTGAAAACCGTGAGAACACTTAGCGGGGCGCCCATACCAGCGGGCGGGGACGGCATAATTTATACACTAGGCAGGTATTGCGTGAATTACCAAATGCTAGTGCCATGTCTAAGAACAAAGAGGTTTCGTTTGTAGAAATATAGCTATGTGTACAAGATTCGAAGGCAATAACGAGTACAGAATAAATGATAGATATAATTAAAGTATTTAATAAAGAACCATTTGCGATCCGAGACCAGTCGCTGTGGCTGCAATTTTCCCTAATTAGTATTGTAACTAATTTTTAGCTAATCAATTATATTGATTGTCAGTAGGTATACCTTTAATTGCCAAGCTACATTTTGTACAAAGTATATCGGGCATCTTTGTATCGCCTATTTCCATATCCATGACGCTTATTTTGTAGGCTGGATTTCGGTTCACATAATAAATAATAACGGTAATACTGTCGCAGTCTGCAATGTTATAAAATTACAGGATATCTTAGGCGTCAATGTACGACAATCTGCAATATATTCTTAAAAAGCATCACATCACATGCATCACACTTAGGATTTCCCTCAAAATTAATATGGAGAAAACCAAGATGATGACATGAAATGATCTCCAATTTCTTTAAAAGGTTCTACCTTTTAAAGAAATTGGGACACTATAATTGGGAAAATTAATTCGACTAGGTCGGGATTAAAGAGCGTAGAATAATTTGGAAATGTCAAAGGTGTGCCTCCAGTTAAAGATATTACCTACAATCGCTGAAAACTAAGATCTTTAATCAATGTGCGTGCGTGGATTATCACAGCGGAGCTAATTCAAAACACCAGGTTGCACAAAGAAGTATGTAAAAGAGTCAAGTCCAATCTGAGTATAGTTATATTTCTTTTAGCCCGTGTCCCACGGGCTAAAAGAAGTATAGGCCGGTATGCCTAGTAATCAGCAACTGCAAAATTAAGGTACCGACAGGCCACAAACCGTGCAGCACGGAAACGGATTGGAGAGTCATATACCCAAGGGTGGGTTACCCTGTGCTGATAAAGAAGAAGGAAATCGTAGGACAAAGTAATGGCAACGCATCACATACCGACGTTTTGTCAGATAGGTGACAATTATTTTTTCCCATAGGTGGGCCATAGGCTTTATTGGTCAACAAGAAGCTAGCCCAGCAATATACTTAAGTATTGTGCTTAATTAGTTTGTTTCTGTTATTGTCTCGTAAATTATGAAAGAACGTATAAACCTATATCTGTATAAGAGCACTTAGTATAAATGTATAATAGCACTTAGTATAATATAAAACGCCTTTATATAAATTGATGTCTATTTGGAACCCTATTTTCCTCACTACCTCGCATTCTCATTTCGTCACGCGGTCAATCACCGGACAACTCAATTTTGCATTCATAAGTATAACTGTTTGAATTGGTCTTGGTGTTTTCTATATATATTATGAAAATATTAAAATTAATATACAAAAGTACCTAGGATTTTATTATAAGAGTATAATGTTTATATCATTGTTAGTATTATTGTACATCAACTACTGGTCTTCGCTCGAATTGAATCCATTAAATATTTTTTTTTTAAATAAAATTTATCCTACGTACATTGTAATACTTCCAAGAACATGTGTAAATTTCATGATGATCGGTTCAGTAGTTTTGAAACCCTAACAAACATCCCTACTTTCACATTTATAATATCTATATTAGTAAGGATTATCTTATCTGTGGTATTATAAAACTGTACTAATGGGTAATAAAAAAAGGTTCTGCATAAATAAATCCAATGGACAATATCTATTAATAAAATGAGAAAAGGGAGTATAAACGTGCTCTCTTCAAATCAACTTCGCATTAGAACATTTCGGATGTTTTCTAGTAGACTAAACCAGCAAGAACAGCACATATCTACCTATATTGTGATTTATGACATTATCCTCCTTGGATAAAATGCCACGGATTCTGCTCGGCTGATATCTGCAGTCATATTCTTTACTATATATATACTTACAAATCATTTACGATTAACCTCAATAGTAGGCATTGTTATTGTGGAGCTATAAAGAATTTCAATTCTGATGAAGTACATAGATACGTATGAAATGAACGTTGAATTAAAAAGCATTTTAGTTTTATGTTGATAATAATCTCTATTTTCTAATATTGTTCACAAAGCTAAAAATATCTAATGTTGAAATACCTTGAAAAGTAAGGCTTTTCACTAAAAATTATGCGCGTCACTATAATGGAATGTACTACGTCGGTTTAATTGGAAAAACGCGATGGGGGTGCGAGGTCAGTTGAGTGGACTCCCTCCACTAATAGGTGGGTACGATACAATCTGTGCTGTGGGTTGTGTGCGAGAGAGTTGGCGGTGGCAGCGCCAAGCCGCCGACACACACGACAAGCCCGCCACCAAAGGCAGCAGCGCGCAGTCGAGCGAAGCTTGTGCGGCCGGCTGGTCAGGCGACTGTCGCGGCCCCCGCGACCTGAACCGCCCTCACTCTCGTTTACAGATGGCATTTATCTCATAGAAAGTTAGTCCATGCATCATGGGCTGTACCAGCAGCGCTCCAAATATGGTCACATCACATGTAAACACTACAGGTACCATATACATTCAATTAACAGAAACACTAAATAGGTCTCTATAATAATTAAGATTGTCTAACAAAAAATGAATGTGAACCATGTTGAATTTAATATGCACAATAAGGAGAGAAAACACTATTAATTAAAAAAATAATCATCAAACGAGTTTTACGTATAGAGCAAACAACAAATAAAAAAATATTTGACGGTAGAATTGAGGATCACCTGTTATCAGTAAGCAGAAAGTTAAGAAATGTTTTATTTATAACGTCTTCAGTTCGCCTAATAAAACACCTAATTAATATAATATAGATAATACCAGTCTAACAACCGGTAATGTAAATATAGAGGTTGTAGGCAGCGCCTGCAATCATTGCCAACTAGATACTAATATTACATGTACAGTAATTTTGATTAAAGACTCATCAGCCACTAATATGACAGCTTTGTATGAAAAAATGAAGATACCTATATAGAATAATAATAATAATATCTTTGTGGTGTGCACAGAAGAAACATAGATATAAAGAAATAAGAATAATAAAATAAGAAGACATAAGAAAAACAGTTAATAGAAAAATAATAACAAAAGGCGGTCTTATATAGCTATAAGAAATTTCTTATGTATATAAATATAATGAACGATTCAATTCAATTAGGTGTCTACATAAGTTATCCTTCTATTTAAAATAATAAATATCCTAAAACAGTTTATCTGTTACTTTAGCGTTGTCATGACAGGTCTTTATTTACCTACTATATCTACTTAAACTGGTGCGAAACATTAGTTTAATAACGTTATAATATATACCATTACATATAGTAGAAGCAAGAAAATCACCCAGAATAAACCGTAAGGTACAAGTCAGTCTCTAATATCAAGGGATCTGAACATATACATAATGTAAACATTATATCTGTTCATATATTTAAATTATGTTCATGTATGTATAAACTGTGATACTAATACATCATCACTTTATAGATATAGTATATGTATAGATATGTATCATAGTTTAAATATTAAAATGTATGACTGTTGATGACTTTATAAGTCGACAAATTCTGATGGGACTTTCACACGGAGATAGTTAATGTTATTAGTTAAAAAGATAACTACCACGCGGAGGGAGTCGCGGGTAACAGTTAGTCAGTTATTAAGAAACATCTAATATCCTTATTAATAAAATGTTTGTAAAATTGAAATAGCCGTTTTTTACTACATGCATATGAATATAAATACTGTACATACACCAAAAAATCACTTTTTACCATTTTTGTCTGTCTGTCGGTCTGTTTGTTCCGGCTAATCTATGAAATGGCTGGACCGATTTTAACGGGACTTTTTTGGAAGGTACCTGATGTAGTAACTTAGGATACTTGTATTTTAGAAAAAATCTTTTATTTTAAAAAAAATGAAGTTAAATTCCACGCGGACGAAGTCATGGGAACAGCTAGTAAAAAATAAAAATCGTAAGTACTAGGGTAGGCCAGCCCCTTTTCTTATCCGATATTGTCGTAATATTAATATTACCTATTTATGCCTATATTTTCATGTTTTATTATTGCTGATTAAATAATAATAATGTTAATTATATACCTACTGAAGTTAATACATCTCTTTCGTGGAATAAATTTATTTCAGTAACGTAATTCATTGCTCTTTCGTACCTATTTTCAGATTTTCAGCTATAGCCTTCAGATAGCTGAAATTTCTCTCTGGACAAAAATCACACTGAATTACGGACTTTTTGTACTGTTGTACCACACAATTCAGTAACATTTTTTTTTTATACCACTTAGGTGGCAAACAAGCATACGGCCCATTTGATGGTAAACGGTTACCGTAGCCTATGGACGCCTGAAACACCAGGGGTGTCACATATGCGTTGCCGACCCTTAAGAAACCTTAATATACCCATACACGCATTAGGTACATGTGCGACACATATCACGTTCAGTTGTTTAGTTATTATTGTTACAGTGTGCTGTTTTTGTTACATATTTTTTTATTTATTTTCTATTGTATGTGCTGAAGATATAAATAAAGTATTTATTCTATTTATTTATAAAAACGAACCGAACAACTAAGTTGATTTGTTGTTAAGGGGCAGTTTGATGATTTCTTGAAAAATTTATAACTAGAGCAAAATATATTTTTCATGTAGCATATCTGAGCATACACGAGTATGGCTTCATTTTAGAAATATTAGGAAAAATGTTTTTTTCTTCTACATCTACGAGGAGAATTTTAATTTATACAAATATACAGTTATAGGTATCTATCTACAGACGCAAGTGTGAATATATATTACGAAATTACGAGGCTCTATTGTAGTACAAATAAAATTAATTTTTAATTTCCTGATTGACACTAACGGCCTGTATTCAAAGTAAAATTTTTGTAGTTTCTAAAATATAGCGCTATAACAGAACGGGTAGACAGACTACCAAAGACATAATCAGGGTTCCGTTTTACTATAATATCTGTCTAATATATATTTATTTACAAGTACGTAGGTAGGTACTTATTTCCAACATAGTTACAATCTATTCATGCTATTTTTAGATTGTAATATAGGTACCTATTACCTGCTTCAAGGTCAGTCAAAAGAGAGTGCCGTCTAAGTGTAATGTTACCTTCCGGGGTACGTAATAATATATATTTTGTTTTCATATCTAAGTAGACATGAAAATATGTAGGTAGGTACTTAGTCTTTGGAATCCTGCAGGATTTTGTTTATTCCAGTGGAGAATGATGTTAGCATATCGTGACGAAGTCATGAATTAACCACAATGGTTTCGAAGAAAACAGCGTGGAGGTCGATCTGATAGGGTATATTCCTAGCAATGGGGCATTAGTCCCCATTACTAACAATTTCTTTCCTCTTGCAGGTCGAAACAATGATAATTTTGTATATTATTTTTTTAATATAAAAAATAATAGGTAATTATTCAGTGAAATATAGAAATTAATATATGTTTGAATACATTTTTTCTTCAGAAAAAATACTCCAATTTCCGGAGGAATCACATGAGCAATCAATTGGGGATGCAAACGTGGCCGTAAATGCTGATGATGGAATTGGAGAATACGAAAATAAGGTGCTTCCTTCGTGTGATACTTTAGATGAATCTATACAATTAGATAGAAATAATAAATCAGTAATTAACATCTCCAATCTGGATATGGAAAAAGGTATAAAATATATAAGTACTCAACATACGAATTTCGTGATGTTTGGGTTTAGCACAGCGTATTACATACTTCCAATGTTCGTGAGTTCGATTCCTCTCACGATATAGAAATTTGTATTCACGAGTATAATTGTTTGTATCTGGATGATATCTATATATATATTTTACGTATATAATAAACACAAGTTCTACTTAGCTGAGGACTAGATGGCGTTCTGTGAATTGTCTAGGGATATTATTATTATTATTTATGTTTGTTTTCGTTTACAAAGACAGTTGTTGTGTGTGACACTTTCTGTCTTATTTGCCTTTTCTAAACCAACCAATACTACAATAGATACACATGTATGTATATACTCTACTTTATCGTAAGAACGTAGTTTAAACAAATGTAACCAAAGTTTGTTTGTTTGCTTATTCTACTTTAAATTACTTGGTGCGTAAGTAAAGTAGATGTGACTAAGAGTAAGATTGAAGATATTCGTAATCGTATGAAGTGTAGATACCTCATACGATTTACAAACTTGAAACTTTCAAGTAGTATTGTAAATTGTTTGATTATAATTTGTTCATTATAATTAAAATTATCAACGTATTAAAATTAACTATACAATATTTTAGATACACATACTAATGAACAAATGATGGAGAACGAAAACACAGTTGGTATGGCGGAAGATGATGATGACAAATTATCCTCTTTACAAGAAGTTGTTGAAAAAGTAGTAGAATTATATATTACAGACAATCCTGAAAGTGTGCAGGATTCTTCCGACGAAAAAAATATTGTACAGGAGGAATTAAAAGCAAATTATGTTACAAAGGCGGAAGATCACAACAAAACTAATGAAGACCCTGTAGATGTTCATAAAACAGATACAAATAATGTAATGTAAGTAAATGAGAACTCATTTATTAACCAAAGAACTTATACATCTTCATTCTAGAATTACGAATCATTAACGTAATATGCTGTTATTCTGCAGAAATGAGAAAATGGAAGAAGCCATCAGTCCTAGTCAATCCACTAGCAGTCGGGCGACTCGATGGGAAGCATTAGCAGACATCGCAGCAGAATTACCACCTTCGCTTACTGTTGATCCGATTACTGGCCAGATTTATGCGCTGTCAAAGTAAAGAGAATTTTAAATTTAAATGAAATTGGGATTTCTCTATTATCTGTTGTTAACATTTATTAAGTGTGTAATAACTTAAACCCTTTGGTGCCGACGTAAAACTATTCATATACGTAACTTATGTGAATGTTGCACAAATAGCTGTATTAGGTACCTAATGATGTTTTTAAACTTTGCAGACAATTATGTAACTATATGCTAACACGATTATTCCACGATGAAAGGAAATCAATAGACATTTAAAGGAGCTTATGTAATTTTTTTTTATAAATCATTGCAAATCTCTAAAGCAGATGTAGAGAAGATACGCTTATTCACAAAAACGCCAAACGTCTAATATACGAGTAGGTAGGTACGATGACAACTTGTAACATAGTTATTATATTTAGGTATTAATTTCTAACGGAATCGAATTCGTTTCCCTATACCTACAGCGGCTTCCAGAATGTAGTTGCTATCGATGTCACTTGTTTTCGGAATACCATTTTAACCATCGTAGAAGCTTTCGAACGTAAGGAAATAATTAACGAAATTAGTCGATGGCTCGAGGGCTAAATTGTATCAGTTTTCAAATACTCATTAACACGGACTGTATGTAGGCAGAGATGTGACAATTTTTTAATAATAGTACTTATTTGAAATGCAAAATACCTTTTTCCACTTAGTATTAAAACCCATTTTGTACTTGCAAAATGCAAAATACTTTTTGTTAAATGGGGATTTTAGATTCAATAATATTCGTTAACACAAGGTGGATTTCTATGGTTATTGTTATAACAAACAAAATTCTATTTTTTACTGTTCTGTAGTACCAATTTTCTCACAATTAACGTTATAAATCAAACTTTTGGAACAAAATATATAACTAGATTTTTACAAGTGATAGTTGGTGCAATAAATTCTTATTAATAAAATAAAGGTTTATTCTATTACAAAATAAAAGTTAATTGCTTTTACTAATTAATTACATTTTGTAAACTGTTTTGTGTAGAGGATTCATAGGCATGTCAGTTCCTGATTTCTCATAGATTTTGTGAACTATCTGTTATATATAAAAATAGTCTCTATAGGTATGTATTTATTGTTAAATAAAAACATAGGTCCTGGTTTTCTATCAGATGTTAAATAAATTAGAATATTTAATATTACAGTAACCAATTAACAGATGATAGGCGGAAGTGAAAGAAAAAGATATAGGTACATAACATGATTGTCTAATTCAATATAAACTACTTATGTGTTTAAATTTTATTGAAACCTGTAAATTATTTCAAACTACTTAACTTTTTTCTTAATGTCTTTATCAGTGTTATAGTTATTAAATATTTTTATGATATGAACTTTTTAGAATATAATTTCAGTGTTATAATTATTATATAATTACGGAGAACCTTATTGTATGTGGTTACTGTCGCCTATGTATATGATCAGCACCACATATATTACATTAACATGTTACAAGAATCCGTCATAGATTTTGACTATTTAATGAAATATGAGACAAGACCTAGAAATTAATAAATTTATGTATATTGGTAAAAAACAATGCATTTTAAAATATGATTTAATAAAATATACATACTTTACTGAACACGGATCAATATCAATGTTTCAACCACTATATAACAGGACCCCTATCTGCTCAGCTGCATTACGTTCCTAAACATCAAATGTGGAAAAGTATTTTATGACATTGTTCGCACTATTCTGCACATTATGTGTATCTACAACGCTAATGTTAACTAAAATGATCACCATACTCACGACTCCATACGAGTGTTTCTAATTGCAGAATCAAGATCAAATGCTGACGGCTATATATGTATAATAAAGCAATGGCATTAAATGAAGCATTCAAACTTAACGAAAGATATTTTTAACACTGATTACTGTAATACTAGTATGTGTATACACGTCGCTAGTAGGTACACTATATAATTAAGTATAAGATATTTGTATTGGAGGAGTTAGCTCAATTTTATTCTAAGTAAAAATTAGGTAGCTTACTCGTTACATTAATTTATTTAAATAAATCTAATTTAGATTTTTTATGTACAGAAATATATTTTTGTTAATATTAAAAACATGCGAATTTTAATATTTATTTTTATTAATGTACCTTATATATTTTATTTACCTACTTACCTAGTTCTGAATTACTTATGTTTTAAATATAGCAAATAAAAAAAGTCACAGTATATGGCTATGGCATAGACGTAGCACAAAATATAATATTGATTTCGGTCTTGATATCATGATTTTATGCAATGAAAGGGAATTAGATTGTTTTTATTAAATATATTTACTAAGAATAACGCTTATTAAAAAAAAATATAATTTGAAAATTAGATAAGATATAGATATATAGATATAGATAATTTAATAATTAGAAAAGTTGCTCTATAATAAAAAAAAAACAAGGAATCTTTTCATTCGGCTTTTTAAATTTTGCTTTATTATTGAATGATAAAAGAGAAATAATTAGTTCTATTCTATTGGCCGTAACTGGCCTTTACAGGTTCAGCGGACGAAAATGTGGGTGTTGAGGCACTCCAAACCCATGACTGATTTATGGAGCGGTTGAAGTCCTACGTGCTTCCATATGTGATCGATCTTATCGGATCAAACGACGGCATATATTCGTTACGCAAAACTCTTGCCTAATGGATATGACTGTAGTCTAGACGATACTTCGGGGTTCGATCCTCTGCTTAGGCCGCCGTTTAATCCGTTAATATCGATCACACAAGGACGCACGAACAGCAATTAATAAAAGAAACTACTACATACTGATATTTTATGAAACAAAAGAAAACGTTAAATATAAAAATAATGTATTCTCTTAAGCAAGGATAAACACAGGTAACAAAAAAAAAAACAATGTACTTAGATTATCTATACTATACATAGTACTATAAAGTATTTTTTACTTTCATCATAGCAATACCATTATCTGTAGTTGTCCCACTGAAGATAACAACACACAATGCAGATTGCGTTACACTTCTCCAAACAGTCTCAATCCACCTATCAATAGTATCAAATTGTTCGGATTCAGATTTACTATCTAATTCTGGTTTCAAATGAACCATTACAAAATTGTAATCTACTACAGCTTTACTGACAGCGGCAATCACTTCTTCTGCTCCATCGACAGTGCTTAATTTAACTTTTTTTATTTTTCCATTCTTAAATTGGGAAGTCACACTTTCTCGAGCCTGTGTTAAATATGTATGATAGTCACCTGTGATGTCATCACAACCAATAATTAGGGATGTTTTTTTCTGTTCTATCATGTGATTAAATATTGATAAAGCAATCTCTGGTGTTCTAGAAACTTTAACAGCAGTTTCCTTATATTTTTGTCTGTTGGTGTGGACTGCATCTCCATACTCCATACTTTTACTTAGTTTTAATTGGACTAATTTCATGGAGGCTAAAGAATCTTCCACAGAACAATGCCCTTTTTTGCCAGACTGAATATCTTCATTAAGAAATTCTTTTGCTAATACTTTAAGCTTAGGCTTACGTATTCTTTCTCCAGTAAAATTATAAATTAAACTAGTGTCTATTATATATGGATGCATCATTTTTAAAGCATGCAAATCAATATTCAATGATTGTCCTACGAGAATAGCATCTGCTGGTAGCAATTCTCTTATATCAGTCTGGACATCTTCAAGTCTTTTAGTTACATCAGTCAGTAATGATTTTGTAATACCTGAGTATCGTGTTAAGTAATCTGTTATATCATTATAAGGTTTTACTAGAGATTCATATATAGTTTTATGTTCTTCATTCACTATTGAGACTCTTGTTAATTCTGAACCCGCATTTGTAATACACATTTCACAATCTAATCCAAACATTGGAGATTTAGCTGTAACTGGTTTATATTCATTTTTTGTCATTACATAATCTGAATATGCATTTTTCAATTTACCTTTCAAGGGTATTGGATAATTTTCTTCAATAAGTTGCCAAGCAGATAACATCAATTGTGTTCTTGGAAACTTATCTTCTGATATGTAATCAATACTTTTTGTTTGTTGATCTTTAATTGGAAAAACAGCTTTCATCATAATCATTAAATCTTTTCTCGCTTCCAGAGCCAAGTTCATACTGCCATATTTTTGTATAATTTCTTCTTTATCAACCTCTGATAAAGGCACTAATGCAAGTTCTTGCACCAATGACCCATTATAAACAGAAGGCGTTAGAATTTCTACAAAATCATTAAATATTTTCTGTGTCTGTATAAATTTATTTGCATACTTCTGCCAATGTTCTATTGAAATACCTTCTAATATGAGACATGTTGTTTGACTTATATGATTACATTTTTCCAACACATACCAGCGTGGTGGTATGGATAAATTTAAATTACCTAGAAGTGAATGCAATAGCAAATGTTGTAAGTCTGTGAGCATCACTGGTACACGCTCATGTTGTGGATGGGACAATGATGCACTTTCTCCTGTAGCTTTTAAACGAAACTTAGGGATGTGTTTTTTTTTATTGATTTCTTTTGAAATATTGGATTTAAGTACCTTACTTTGTTTTGCCCCTACAGATGATTTACCTGTGGAAGAGATATTTACCATTATTATTTTATATATTCAATTAATATTATAATTAATAAAAATTACTCATGCTAATTTTTAAGTTGTGTTACAACAAGTGTATACAAGTGTTACAAGTGTATACAAGTGTTGTTGTTGTTTGCTTTCTTCTTCAGTACATCTTTGATTTTCTCACTGAACAATTGTGTAACAAAATATATTTTAACATTATCATCAATAATGTTGGAAAAATTGATTTTCATGATTGGCTGTTGTTTTTTAGCAACACATTTATCATTGAATCACCAGCATATCAGACCATTTTCCTAATATTCAAAGGAAAATTTTATATTTAGATATTTCATACAGTTCTCATAAAATTCCTTGTATAAGATGGCCTCAGGTTTATAATACATATTTTCAGTTTATAGTAATCTTTTCAGTTTTTAATAAGATTATTTATTTGAGTAGTCGTCTACATGTTTGTATTTTTTTTTATTACCATATTCTCTTTAATTCTAGATATTTTAATATGCAAAACTTATACATGTTTATAACTATTATGAGAATAAATTTGAGAAAACATGTCAAAAAACTTCAATAAACACAGAAATATAGTTTTAAATTGACAAATTAACATCCCAGAGGAGAATATTATAGGCATACTGTACTATTTATTAAATATATATTTAATAAGCTAAAATAAATTGGATCTTTCAAAGTCAACAAAATTAGTACAAAGTGCTATTAATCTCAGGAAAATTTATAATTAAGTAGTGGAATGCCATAGATATAATAATTATTATAAATTACAAGCCACTTGCTTGCCTTTTCAATCTTTAAAACTCCTATCTAATAAGGTAAAAATCTCTGGAGTTAGTTTATAAATCAGCCGATCTAAAACTAATAGTAATAGATTGTATTGGTATGGACATGTCATGTGGAGGAGTCAGAACCATGATATATATAAAAGTGGTTGTGAGGGAGAAGACGACCGAACAAAAGATGGAGGAAGTGTGTGAAAGATGATAGACACAAATCGAGAGTAAGCTCAGATGTAACAGCTGATATAAACCGATGGAAGATGTTATACTGCGCCAACCCTAAATTTTTAAATGTCATATAATTGGCATGCATTTCAACATATCGATTTAAAATTATGATTAAGAGATGTTTACTGTTAGGTTAGGTACCAGCAAATATTAAGTTACCAGTACAATATATGTTAGGTATTATTGTATAGGTTACGCTTGCAAAGTTAGTAAAACAAAAAAAAAGCATAACGTTATAAAAATTGTCGTCTTACCATTATCAAAGTTTGGTTTTCGTTTTTTATTCATTGGTCCGTCCATGGTACATAAGCAATAGTTATTCTAATTAAATTTGAAACGGATTTGGTAAAAAATATTATATTGTGTTTTCATCCCGGAGACAAACTTGACAGTAAATATGTTGCCAGCTTTTTCCAATTTTTAAATAGGGTTATGGCACTAATCGGATATTAATTTTGTTGGGCTAAAAAAGACCTGTATCCAGAGCCGTAAAATATTAATAAATAAAAAATTATCCATTTTTATAGGTTACCCAGAAATAGGTGTGTTTATTTACAGATAATGGAAAATGTACAAAAACACGTTTACCTAACCTTAATAAATGTAAGAATAAAAAAAAACCTCGTTAATTATTGTCTTAATCGATGTCTGTACAAATTTGTACAAAGCCAAAAATGTTATACTTCTTCGACGAATTCCGTATGTTTAATATCCCTCCCAGTAGTCTATGTCTGACTAGTATACAGCGTTTCGACAGTGTTCATCTCAAAATTCAGATTTCGCAGTCAGGTCCTAAAGCAAGCTGACTATCCACCTAATGGTAATCAGTAACCGTTACCTTTACACATGAACAGTAGTATAAACGACATACTGTGATAACATTCTGCTTTGCCATTATAGAGGACTAAGATGTTCATGCCTCTTATCCTGTAATTTCACTGTTTAACTTGGCGACTGAAATAGGTTAAACTGAGGTATCAAAGCGGACATTTTAGTCTTCGTTGAGACTACTCTAATCGTTTGTGCCCACAAGTAATCACCATGGGTTTTCTTATAACAACAAATAACTAAATTAAAATTTAGTAGCAGCAGCAACTTCTTAATTATTTATGAAGTAATTTGATTCCCGTTGCGGCATGGTATATAACTGTTTCGTGAATATGTATAATATAAGAGCACGACTCGTTTTCTAACAGACTACAGGTTGCGCAATGTCAAATCTAATATAATGAGGAAAAAACAAATTTCTTACGAACTCTTTTTACTAACTCTCCGGTGATAGAAACCAAAATAATCTCTGAAAGATAGCTGTAAGGTCCACACTGCCATCTGTATGTCAAACGACTGCATTGATAAGGACGTTAACAGTTGATAAGACTTGACTAACCCAGGGGGATGTAGTCTATTCGCGTTTCCTTGTGACAAATAGGGAAACTGAATAATCAATTTAAATAGCCATAGATCATGATTTTTTCGATGAGATTTTCCCTTAGTAACTTACTGCCTAAGATACTTGACTAAAGATAGATATACTCGGTAAGGCAATGGGGATCACATTTACTGTCCGCGATTGGAAAGTCTTCCCCATAGTCGTAGCAGTGAGTAAAACAAAAGTTATATATATATTTTTTTAAGCATTTAAATGTCTTGTAATCGGCAATATTATAGCTGGAGAGAGGAAGTAAGGAGTGAGATGTTGTTCGAATTTATTGTCTTGCCAATTAATAAAATTCAATCCCAGTAAATTCTAAACCAAGCAGTTTAGGGTTGAAAACATAACAAGTAAACCAAATACGTAAGCATTTACGTACAGTGCTAGTATAGATTTTGACTTTATAAAAAATCCAATAAAACTTACTGAGACTTCTAGCAAAATATTATTTTTATATTGTTTCTACAATATCGATTTTATGAAGTAGTCTCAACTTTGCTTATAGACAATTTATATTATAATAATTATATTTTTATACGATACATATTCTAATATCTGAGAATAATTATCTATTAGGTACTTATATCATTACCATAATATATATTACTAGCTGTTCCCGCGACTTCGTCCGCGTGGAATTTAACTTTATTTCTCTAAAATAAAAGATTTTTTCTAAAATAAAAGTAGCCTAAGTTACTCCTTATTACATTAGCTAACTGCCAAAAACAGTCCCGTCAATATCGGTCCAGCCATTTCAGAGATTAGCCGGAACAAACAGACCGACAGACAGACAGACAAAAATTGTAAAAAATGTTATTTTGGTATATGTACCGTATCTACATTCATATGCATGTAGTAAAATACGGTTAGTTCAATATTACAAACAGACACTCCAATTTTATTTATATGTATAGATAATTGATAATGTTTTAATAGGGTAGATATACCAGTGTGTGCATATGCGTAAAGTGAAACAAAATGTTTAATTACTTTATTTATGTACTTTATCAGTTTCTACATTTTAGTTTTAACAACGTCGTGTAACAGACACCTAAGAAAATAAATAGGTACTTACTTACTACTTACTTAGATACTACTTATATGAGTAGTTTGAATAAATAACAGGATTATGTAATCGGCATTAGTGTTTTTGTAATTTAATTTGCGTGTAGTAAGTGCATAAAATAGTCTATGGTTAAAGAAAGTATATTCTATATAATTGTAAATATATTAATGGGATCTTTTAAAATAATTTCATTTTACTGCAGGCAATGTTCTTTCTATAAATGCCTTCATATCTTTTAATTCTGCCTCTGATGAGCTGTGTGATAAACCTTGATACGTAGTGAAGTCAATATTCTTCATAAATGTTTTCAGGAATGATGCCGTCATCTGACCCCATTTGAAGGGTACTACTGGATCACAGTCTCCATGCGCTTGGAAAATCTGAAAGTTAATATAGCATAGGGGTTTATCATGCACTTAATTATTACTAATAATTTCACTACAAATCTTTCAATAAATTGCATAAATTAAAATAAATAATAAGAAGTCAGCTTAGTCAGCTAAGAAGACAATAGAGCTTTAGAAAAAAAAATATCTTGAGCATACAAAATGGCTTTATGGGAGCCAGTTCTTTGTAAATTGCGAAAAATGGCAAAGGCAAAAAATGATGACGATAAAAGTCACAGTTCTAGTCCGGTACAATGAAAAGTCTCGTCTATGGTCACAAACGTAACAAAAATATTTCATGATATAGGTGGAACTCGCGAGATTAATTCTGGTAATGACGCCTCATTCAAACAGCCAAACACGTGTCGCAATATGAGTATAGGCCATAGGCTCCATAATGGTCGAAATTGGATCATCAATGGAGAAGGTTGTGTCGTTTCCGGTTGCGCTCATCGTGTTTTGGTACTGATTGTTAGTAGTCTCACACATGTAGTACACACATATATGCACACATTTTTAGTATATACATATAACCGGTACCACCTTCATTAACTTTATTTTATTAGCACTATCTTGAATATAGATTTAAGTATGCGTCATCATTATGCTGTAACGAGAGAAGTATAGGATACTTTTTATTGTATTTCTAGCGGGTCACAACTAGTGTAATCATGCAATAAAATATTCAAATCACATGTTTTCGCATCGGATATTTTAGTTCCTTGGTGGCTCTTTGTCCATTTCTTCCTATATAAAATCGTATGTATCAAATCCTATTGTATTGATAAATATAATTTAAGTTTAATCTGCCCTTCCTGCCCTATGTGGTATGCATAATAGTCCAATATTTTAGCATACAATTTAAATCCTGTTACATCAAATTACAAGAGTTCATGGCAAAACAATAGCTGCTTTTAATGTAAATAAAGTTTGTGAACTAATGTAATAAATATTAATGTGTCGGTATATGATACAATAATATTATTTATAAACAAAAACGGGCGGAAATTGCAATGAAGAAACATAAGAAACGAAATTTATATGTAATGTGCCTTAATACATTACTATAGTTTAGTTGTACTTTGAGGTGAAGAAAATCCATTATAGGATCAGGATCAGGATCCATTATAAGTAATTAAATTCAATAGGAATGATAATACAATGACAAAAATTAAAATGGAAATAGCGGAATGTCTGTTCGTGTTTAACATTTATGTGGGTTGATAGACGTGAAGCATATTTTCTATACAGGGTCATTTCATTCCTACAAGCCACGTAACTCATATTATCGACCATAGGCGAGTAGTCAGGGTGGGCAACAATTGAATTTTATTAACATGTAATGTTAGTCTTACCGGTAAATCCAAGGGTGCTTTAACTGCATCAGGAAAATGAGCATGTCTAGGCAACCAACATGATAGTGACATGACACCTCCTAAAGGTTGAGAGTAAGTCAAGGCAGCATGAAGAGCTAATGCTCCTCCCTGCGAGAAACCACCCAGCAGCACTCTGTTAGCCGGTATACCAGCCTATAATACATATAATAATTATATTAATATTATGGAACAGCAGTCCTAACAAATGCGGTGTGTATTTGTTGGAAGATATTGAGGAAGGCATATATGCATATATAGGTTAAGTCATTTATATATAGTTATGGGTATTACAATGATATTCACACAATACCTCACCTTGATCTTCCAAATATTAGGTGATGACTGGAGGATTGAGGAGTCAAGGAAGGTGGTTAATTGGTAACAATTAGTTAGCACAGCAAATATCTATTATGCTTGTTGACTAATCATACTATACTATATATATAATGAGTACTTATTGGTATATAGGTGATGGTGTAATATTAGTTTCAATTAAATACAAGCATTATCATATCAGAATATTAGTAGTACTAGTAAGTATAAAAATTATAAAAATTTTAAAAGAGTATTGCTCAAATATTATATTCGTATATTTTTAGCCGCCTTTCAAGGTAAATAAGTGCCTAGTGCACTACAACACAGCACCGCACAGTCTCAAACTAAGGGTAGTTGGTACTATGGTACCTGATACCAATCTATATATACCATATGTAATAAAAATGTAACTGAGAGAAGAACTGTAATGTTATACAACATAATCATTAGAAACCAAACAATGACTCTTAGAATTTATTTCTATTTACTAGTTTATCTATGAGTTCTTATCTCAGAAATTATCTTATATAATTCATAACATAAAAAAAATAATTATATACAAGGAAGTTTAAAAGTTACACCAGTTATAGAAAAGTTGCGAGGTAATAGATTGAGCTGGTATGGGCATGTTATGTGGAGGAATGAGAATCATGTCTTATGGAAAGTGTATAATATTAATGTGGATGGGTGTAAAGGGAGGCCCTAAGAAAAGATAGATAGATTGTGTGAAAGATGATATGAATAAAAGATGAGTATGCTCAGATATGACGAATGATAGAGAGCAGTGGAAGAGAATAACATACCGCACCAACCCCAAATAATGGGATAAAGGCAAGGCAATGATGATTTACTTTAGAAACTTAAAGAATAGATTTTAGAATGAAATCAGTAGAAACTTGTTAATGAAATAGTAAGTAAATTTTCAATCCATATAATAAAGAATTTAAATCATATTCCATATAATTTTAATAAAGAGTCCATTTTTTAATCAAATTACATTATTACATTTTTGTTGAAACACTATTCATGTTTTAACAACAGTCCCTGCATTTGAAGGCAAATTTATTACATTACTCTTCATTAGCTCTTCAATAATTGTTCTATGTTTTTTCTATTTTGACTCTTGCTTGATTTTAATAAATAATAAAGGAGGAAAGATAATAACAAGGCCCAGGAGTTGGCCCAGTAGCCCCGTAGCCCGGTAGTAGGTAAATTCATTAAAATGATGAAGATATATCTCTCTTAAGTACATTAAACATGTTGGTATAGTCTCTTTGACTATAGGAGCATGTGTGATTATTACAAACTAATAAACATAATAAATTTATATGTCTAAAATTCTTGGGTCATTCTTTGTCATAAATGAAATTTTGGACATGAATTAGTTAATTAATTTATTTTTATTTTTAATAAGTGACTAACTCATAAATTAAATGTAAAAAAATTGTCTTGTCTTAAAATGTTATTACTGTCATTAGAGTACAGATTATTGTGTTATATAGTGATAAAATGTATCCCATCAAAAACATAAATGTGAAATGATAGCCGAGTTTAATATTATGATATATGGCTTGATTGTTGACTTCTACGACAAAAGAGATGAGATCTAAATGGGTGCCAAGTTCAATGGTCTGTCCTGAAATGTATTTATAACAATATAAAATATCATTTCTTCTTATAACTTAAGATAATATACTGTAGCCTAAGGTCTAACTTGGCCAGTTCTCATATACCAATTATTACTTTCGATTGCTAGTTACTATTAATATTAAAATAGGAACCGACAAGTAACATGTTTAGAACTTGCGAAGGCTACAGTATATTTCGTATATGAAAACTAGCCAAGTTAGACCTTAGGCTACAGTATATTATCTTAAGTTATAAGAAGAAATGATATTTTATATTGTTATAAATACATTTCAGGACAGACCATTGAACTTGGCACCCATTTAGATCTCATCTCTTTTGTCGTAGAAGTCAACAATCAAGCCATATATCATAATATTAAACTCGGCTATCATTTCACATTTATGTTTTTGATGGGATATCATTACTTTTTGTACATAAATTATACGAGGTACTTATTTATAACTAAATTAATACCAAATTATTTTTGATAAATTACTGTATTTTCGTATATTTACGGGGTATAATTGTCTTTTTTTTGTGTTATTTTCTATATTTTCTTGTAACTTTTAAATGTTCAAGTGCAATGCCAATTCAGTATCAGGAATTTTTGGGCAAATCGGGGCGGTATAACGTCCACAGATGGTTGTACTCTACAATAGAGCTCTCGTGACTTGGATCAAAATTGTTAAGACGTACTCCATCTAAGGTTTTAACTCTGAAGACTCCAACGTAAACCTGCTCTTTATTAAATATAGAGGAGGCTATGTTGAGAAGAGGACTGCCAAAACTAAGGCCTTGTGATTTGTGGATAGTAATAGCATATGTTAAGCAAATACGGAATTGTTCTCTATCAACATATACCTTATTTAATATCTGAAACTTCGTATTGACACGTTATAGTTCGTAAAGACGATTATGTAACAAATTGACTGTTATCTATTGAATTCTCAAGAAAACAATTTGTTACCAATAAGTTCTCATTCTCGAGTTAACTGTACATTCCTACTTATAACTATACTAAAATTGTTATTAATTTTTGGTTTAAACTACTGTCTATACCATACGTATTTACTAAAATAATGTAATAATAATATAATCACAAATATATAAGTATAATTTAAGAAAGCTATAAATTTCGTAGCATAAATCGCAACCTTATAGGTTAGATATCCAGAAACAAAACATTGAGTTTTATCGTACCGCTCCCACACGGCGCCACCGCGGCGCCCTATACCGAAATGCCTATTATTTAATAATTATTTATAAAAATAATGATTTTACACTATCGATGTGCGCTAAATATTGAAACAATAATTAATACCAAATCTCAGTTAATAACATAATAAATACGAAATTCGACTATACTCCTAGTTATAAGTACAAGTATATTTTAGACAGAATCTAAATTATAGCAACTAGTGTTTACCGCTCAATGCAATATTTGAAGTTTGCTAGTTATCGACACTGATGTGAAGGGGTCAATGTAAATTGGTAATGATCGACGTTTTCATACAATATTACTTTCGGTCCAGTACAAGATGAGATTTTTCGCCAGGGATCAATGTCAATTGGTGGCTATCGACGTTTTCATAGAATTTTAGTATTCGTCCAGTATAAGTTGAAATAGAATCAATTAAAGTGAAAAATTGTAGTAAAATGATAACAATTTACCAGTTTCAGATTTTTTCCTTTATATTCACCTAATTACCTATCTGCATACCAAATTTGAACTTCCTAGGTCATCTGGAAGTGGGTTATAATTTTGATCTATAGTTGATCAGTGATAAAAATGACGATTTTTGGACATTAATATCTAAATAACCGTTTGAGATATGTTTATGAAATTTGGAACACATATTTATCTCGCAAGTCTCAATATATGAACCAAATTTGACAGGTTTGTGTGAAAGAGTTTTTGAGTTATGAGGGGGTCAAAAGTGGCTCCAAATGGTTCGTGTAAATATACACACGGTGCTGCAAGCCAGTTTACTTGAAACTCGGCTTGACACGCTGCCGCGTGTCTAGATTATCTATACATATAAATAAAATTGTAGTCTCTGTTTGTAATATTGAAATAACCGTTTTTTACTACATGTATATGAATACAGATACAGTACATACACCAAAATAACATTTTCAAAAATTTTTGTCTGTCTGTTTGTTCTGGCTTATCTCTGAAATGGCTGGACTGATTTTGTTGGACCTTTTATTGGTAAGTAGCTGATGTAATAAGGAGTAACTTAGGCTACTTTTATTTTAGAAAAATGAAGTTAAATTCCATGCAGACGAAGTTGCAGGTACAGCTAGCAACACATAAATTCATATAATATAATAATAAACAAGTCCTCTTTTTGATATTTTTTTAAAATCATGATAGTTATCAACTATACTGTAACTAATATTAATTTTGTTCTAACTTATACAAATATAGGTGATGTAATATAACATGCAATAACAAATAGATACTTACCTTGACTTCATCCGAAATTAGTCCATGTACAAGACTAGTAGCTCTTAAAATTCCTTCTTCATCTTCCGGAGCTGTGGCATCTAGGGTCCTTAAATCAAACCATGATGGCATACGGAACCCAGCATTAAGTGTAACTGGTATAGTGGCTGCTGTAGGGCAGATCACCTTAACATGAGGACCCCTGATTGCAGCAATTGTGCTTGCCCAGCCATGTCTGAAACATTTAGTAGATTGGAACACTAAATTTATCATCACTGCATTCCGTCCATTATTCAGTTCTATATAATAAATATAATAATTTGGTGTACGTTACTAACCCTGTATCACCCAAACCATGTAAAAATATAAGCTGAAACAAAAAAGAACTATGTACTGATAGCTGATAAATTTATTAAAACATTGACGTGTTTATCAAGTTGACTTACAGATGCAGTTTGTTTCGCAGTGGCAGCAATAATTACAGGATTTGGTTCCATTATTTGATAACTGAAAATCAATACAATTTAAGTGACAAATTGAGAATAAAATTATACGGTTTATATTTACTAGATTAACGTACAAATATTAGGAATAAAATACAATAATTTATTGCTGTAGTTCAGAACTATGTTTAGTATTTTTTAATAATAAAAAGTGATAAGTGAGAAAAAATTGACTATATGTACTTCGACACTATCGGAGTTGCCAGATATTCAGTGATCTTCGGCGCGGCCCAAGTTCCTGAAATCAAGAATATGGAGAAACTAAAAAAAAAAAGAAACACATGTTACTATCTAAAATCCAACCACAGGATTTTAATATAAAGAGAAAATTGGTAGGTACAGAAAAATTAATACTTATCATGGTACCAATAATAGTTTTTAAAGTGTGTCCGCTGATGGTCACTAACAGGCACGCTAATTCTGCCAAATCGATGGGAATTTTTTTTGTGTAATTATAACAAATATTTTATTAGAATCGCAAATGTACGGATATATTTGTTAATTAATTATTGCACAGTGTAGCAAAATAATCACGACAAATGTTCAATTATCATAAATTGACGTGAACATTCTACAACAATAGAAAATTTATATTTTAGATTAATAGATCTACGAATCCTATTACTATTTTTATATAGAAATTGAATACAAATACCATCCTTTGTGGTTTTCTTTCAACGGGACGCACAACCTAATACGTAATATGTAACAGATGAGATTTGTTTTTGTATTTAGAGTAGTACACTGGAATATACTGGGAGAAAGTCGATATGTTAATAACAGTAGAATTTTAGTGATTTAAAACTCCATATTTCGTAACATGCGGTTTTCTCTTATCGAAAAATAAAAACAAACCTCCCAGGGCAGAGGGTCTAACACAAAATTAAAAAAAAAATAAAAAATGGTATCTGGCAACACTTTATGACGCGACCATACCAAACACGCAAAAAATACATGACATACATTTTTGATTACATACATTTACAAATTACAATTTGCACAATAACACTAATATCTCACATCTGTATTAATCTGTTTAACTACAAATTTGCGTGGTTTCTGTATTTTTCTTCACCAGAATGATAGTGTGTTTAGTGGAATTATTTACATTGTCAATAGTATTATTCTAAGACGTTTGGAGTTCCACAAGACAAAATTGGTTATTTTATGGTAAATATTATCTTACATCCCACTTTACCTGTAACGATATGTTAATTTAATTCATAGTATAAATTGCTGGCAATTGTATTTATGGTTAATTTTCTGCTTTTATATTTGATGACAGTAGGTAAATAGGTAATTTGAAATAACTTTCCCAATGCAGAAGTTACTAGTTGACTTAGGTAATATTTGTTACATATTATGAAATTGTATAAGTAGATATTAATTATATTTATTTCCCATACAACTCATTTATATAAGTACCAGATAAAAATCACAATTAATGCTATTGTAGAATATAATACAATTAGGTAAATAAAGAAGCAATGAGTGTTGAGAGATGTGGTTTATGTGATGGTGGTGTTACATTTTTACAACCTAATTTAACATATTTCTCAAAAATATACCATTCTTATATCATATAAAATTGGGTGTGATATGCAGTGAAATTACAGGCTAAAGAGGCATGACATCTTCAGATGTGCATTTCATGATAGGTACAATGAGTGAAACCTGATGATGTGGTGTCTGTAGTGCATGTATATAGGCATCTGTTACCACTTATCATTAGGTTGGCCATCAACTTGTTTCCCATTTTATTGATTTTGTACACAATATCATTTGCTGATAATTTTATTGTAAATTTCAGTATAATTACAAGTAGGTTTCCGGGGAATTAACATTTGTTTACCTATGCTGTTTCATTTTCAGAACACACTAAAAATGGCTAAAGAAGATATACTACTGCGGGTGGAGATGGGAAAATTAGAAATAGAACCAATAAAGCAAAATATCACAACTACTGATGAAAATCCATTTATTAACCAGTTGCAACAGAAAAGAATTTTTAGGCAAACAACACAAAGTAAATGTTCATGTACATGGCAAAAGAAAAATTTTAATCCAGCTGTTCATAAAAAAAGAAATAATAAGATACTTAAAGATCCTGTCTTAAAATTACTCAAGACAAATACTGTAGATAACAAGAAAGAGGAGCAACAAACAAGGAATAAAGTAAATCCAAGTTCTGCTGAAAATTTGAATGTAGATATTTTAAATTTATGTGCACTTGTTGATAATTGTAATCAGTTACGCATATCATCTAGTTCCAAAAAGGATAGAAAGTTAACAGTTGCAGAACTTAATAATCCAGCAAAATGGTGGAAGAATGATTTAATACATGCTAGGCAAGTTAGAAAATTAGTAGTAGAAAATAACCAAACAGGTACTTCTTGTTCTCAACAAGCACTTAACCCTCCTTGTGATGTTACAATTGATGAACTAGCAAGTTATTTTGAAACTTTGGTTCATATACCTAAGAAGATGTCATCAATGGCAGAAATGATGTATATTTAGGAAAATGTATTACAATAAAACAAGTGGTCCAATATTAATGATTTCTTCCACAATTTATATGAATAATATTTTTCTGAACTGAGTAGCAACATTAGATAGAAGGTATAAGGTCTTGTTACTATTGATGCTGATTTTAGAATCACATAAAAATGAGTGGCACAAACTAGTTGTTTCAAGAATGTAACATAATAGTACCTGATCATTAAAATATATGTACATATTTATAAGATGTTCCTAACCTTACATTTTATATTTTTAACATAAAGAAATTCTATACTTGGGAGGTGATAACTATCATTTACTTTAATTTCTTGCTACTTTGAATTTATTAAACATCTAAACATTACATTGATATGCATATTATTTGTGGAGGAACATTATATGATAAGAATAAGGTAGGGGATGTATTTGTTAGTATTTCATTATCATGTCACTGAACTGTCACTTTAGCAAATCAGAGGGTGAAATAAGGTAATAGAAGGTATGTGAATTGACCAAACAATATTAGTCCAAATTGACAAATAAATTTTCTACTTAGTTTCTGTGATTGGCACTAAATTAGTTGAATGTAGACTTGTATTTTGAACAGCAGTTATAAAATCTAAATTCTTTTTTTGTACCTAGTTTATCAATTAATTTATAATAAATAACTCTTTTATTCCCTATTAACATTTCATATGTATAGAAAACTTAATAAGTACCTATTATAGTTTGTATATGTCCGTAATAATGCATTCTTTTTTTATACTCTATAATTGTGGAAGAATTTATTGGAAGTATTGTAAATAACTATAAATAACTCATTCTCTTCATAATTCTAGAAATAATATAAGGCTAATTGAATGTTCATTTATATCTTCTATTAAGTATATTCTAAATATATTTAGATCAATATTTTGTGATAAAATATGTCCTACAATGTTTTAATTCTAAGAAGAATTAAATAGTTGATTCGCATAATTAAATAATGTTCTTTTAAGTTTAATCTATATTTTCCATTTAGTTAATAAATATAGTAAATATTTATTGACTAAATGTGATGTGATATATCATCATCTGCTTTTAAGCACAGATCCTCCGGTGTGCACTTAGGGTATGCTTACTAAATAATTTAATGATTTGTCTCAAGTTCCAAGTGTAAAAAACTTAATTACCACAACAATTTTGAGAAGAGAGATCATTCTTTCTAAGCCTCACAGTACAATTTTGGTTGTGTGCCTAAAAGCCAACACACACAAGTATACACTCTCTAACTCTTTTAAATATACAATGAACCATTTTATTGATGAAATTATGATTTTCGCAAAAAGTAACAACCTATACGCGAATAGACACATTACTTACATAATTATCGTGCAAATATATTTCACAGCTTTTTAAAAGTTAACTAATTAAACCTAATTAGCTAGCGAGTAGTGATTTCGGAACAACAATGTTAATATATATATACATATATATTGTAAAAAAATCATTAAGCTAAATTAAATACATGAATGAAATAAATGTAAAATGTTCCGGTAGTTTGCTGGTATATGTACATCATTTAAAATGTAAATGCTTTTTCTGAGATCACCTTGCTCAAGTTAGTTTCAGACAGATGGACAAAGGCATTGTAAACTGTCGATGTGTTGTATTCGGCACTTGATATGCGGGGTGAAGGGGGATAAATTCGAGTTCATTTACTACAATGGGCTAACTGACCTCACCTCATGCCCATCTTGTCTTCCACAGATACCTCGCCAGCGAATATTGTTAGCGCAGGTGGGTGTACCATTCCATTACCATCGTAAAAAAAATACTTGACATGCCAAACAATGCCTACATTTCACTATTGAACCAAACATGGCAGTAAGCTAGCATATCGCCGTCTGTAGAATTCTCTTCCCCCTGCTGTATTGTATCATGCTACTCTTTTTGTTTTTTCGAACTTGGTCGCAGCTGGTTTTTATTTCATCCTGTAAAATTGGGCACAAGCGCAGAAGGCCTTCGAAATCCTCGGAAAGACCTAAGGAGCGGCTTAAATGTATGCCTGATGGATTCTACTTTAGCCCTCAGATTAAAGTCGCCTTTGCAATAAGGCCAACAGACGGGACACTGTGAGCTTATATTCGAACCCTTAGCCTGAGGTATAAGGGCCGAAATTAAATTACAACAAGGGATTTTAACATTTAACCTGTTTCAATCGGTTAACACAAATAAACTTTACGTAATATGCGATATTCAAGAAACCATACGTCGCAGTCTTTTAGTTATATAACAGTTTTCGTTTTCTACATGAATGATGTCTGACATCTACAAAAATGAGTTAGCATTTTTAACCTGATGTAAGTACGTAAACATGAGTAGGTACGTCAAAATTAGTTGATAAAATTAAATTACATCTATCGATAAAATATGAGTTAATTTTTATATGTACTTATTTCGTAGACACCAGGAACAAAACAAGCGAAAGTGGTATAAACATTCAAGGCATAAACTTATGCGGAGCATATATGTATTGTTATTTAATGCCTATATTTACTCTACAATTATTTGTTGTTTTCTCTTATGATTATGGTCGTTTCAATATTGCTCTTATTGGTATATGAAATACCAAATTTGTATAAGGTATGTATTTAATCAATACCTAATAATAGGTATATCAGTATGACTCAGCGAATACTTAGATATATGTAGGTATAACTATGTAAGTACATGTTTAATTAAGTAACAAAAATAGATTTGTATATACTTATTTATACTTCAGAAAAATGTTTTATAACTCACTGCGGAACACATTTGACTATAAAGCAGCGGTGTTCGCATAGAATACACTGCATGTTATTTGCTGATAACGTAGTTATCTAAAAGGCGAATTCATTTATAAAAACCTTTGAGATATTTTTTTATTATATTAATTACAAATAATTAAATATGTGTATGTGGTAGAGATGAGATGTTGAGATGTATATATGTGTAGTGTGCCAGGAATGACAGATTCAGAAATGTATATATATAGTTCCCTATTGCATACGTAATAGGGAAGTTGCGAGGAATGTCTTGTTTTACCCGCGACCATTGAACATGGTGTGCTAAGCCGCTAGACCACCGAGGCCGATAGGGATCAGTAGGTGCCATACTGCGTTGATCCCAAACATAGATAAAATAATATTACATAACCCAAGTAATGGGATGAATGTAAAAAGCAATGATAATCATTTAGATATAAACTATTGAAATAAAAGTAATGGATATTAGTAGATATGTTATTAAGTGGCTTTTCATCAATTGATTATAGAAATGTTCATACTTTTACCTATTAAGTCCAGTTTGGTTTATGTACGGATTCTATTTAGCAAGTATGTTTACTAATAATAAATAAATATGTTGGTTGCAGTTGATATTTAAAAAAATCAAGTATACTAATACCTCGAGTCCTATACAAAGTGAAGATATTCTCCATGAAAATTATAATAATTGTTTTTTAATAGGAAACAAGGATTTCAATACGTTTCAAAAGATGACCGAAATTGGAAAAGATACAATGGAGTTTGCCATTTCTTCAAATTCCTATTAGTTTTCGATCTGTGCCCTAGGACTATTTTTTTTTTCTATCCACACGGTGTACCTTACGGACATGAACCGCCATCATCGCTGGGTCGCGTTAACATGTGAAATAGGGTAAGTCTCAGCTAAGGCGTTTGTTCGCTCTACTTATTTAAGTAGGTGCTTGGACACATGCGTTCGTCTTCAGTGCCATTTACTTGGAATGCTACCTCCCTCAACGCGAGCACCATGGCCCGGTGGTGTATAGAAGCGGGGTTGAATGCCGGACTCTTGAGTCGGATTACAGGAACTGAATGATTAGAATTTCGCTCCATTTTTGCCGTACACTCCGTATGTTTATAACGTCGGCAAACCTGGCAGCATGGCGCCAACTTTGTCGTGACGTTTGCGTGTATATAATGCAGCGGAAAATGATAACGAGTGTGCGTATGTGTTGAGAAAACTCTTTTGATATTAATATATTTAAAGGTTTTTTCTATTCTATAATCAAAAATATAAAAATAAAAATTATATTGTGTCACCTTCTCTATCTACCATAACATTAAAATACAATTTTCAGTCATAAATAGTTTTATTACATATTTCTACAACAGTATGTCTTTAACTGATTGCTAATCCGTATTATTTGCATAATATCATACGTAATAATATTTATTGCTTAATATTGTTAAAGCAATTCGCTATTCACTAATTATAGAACAATAAAAAAATGCAATTAAGAGTGCCGTGGTCGTTCCACATTCAAAGGTTGTAGATTTCCAAACTAACCGCCATCAAAATATTTTTCGTCAATTTGTATGATATTTCTGACTCACTAATCTGTTCATCAATAAACCAATACTGATCATATAATAAAATTTAGTACTAGTCTACTATAAATAAAATTGGAATGTCTGTTTGTAATATTGAAATAACCGTTTTTTACTACATGCATATGAATATAAATACGGTACATACACCAAAATATCATTTTTTACAATTTTTGACTGTCTGTCTATTCGTTCCGGCTAATCTTTGAAATGGCTGGACCGATTTTGACGGGAGTTTTTGGCAGGAGGTAATAAGGAGTAACTTAGGCTACTTTTATTTTAGAAAAATAAAGTTAAATTCCACGCGGTGGAAGTCGTGGGAACAGCTAGTGATAAATAAGCATATCAGTAAATGTTTATCTATATTCTATAAGTATATTACAGAGTGAAGTTTGATAGATATTTTAAAAAGTTATTAATAGTTATTTAAAATATTTTTTTATTTTCAACAATCTCACCAACGCTTTCATAGTTCCTCTAATGTATTCATTTTTGCCACACCATGCACACATTTCAATATTCGCATTTTAGTTGCATGCAGTCGTCGCCTTTACAGGCAAGCACTTTGATCCATAGTAGACAGAAGGCCCTGTAATTTTTTCTCTTAGTTTAAGAGGAACACGTGAGTCAGACGTCGTCATCACTTCATCTATCCTGCGTTAATTCGGTTAATTACCTGTATTCATCGATCCATTTGGGACGTCAGATAATTTGGACCAGAGCTATCTTCCTCACCGTCAGACATTTTTTTGCGGCGATCCCTCAGGAGATCATTTACAGGAACAAAGAATCTCAATCTCTCCAAGTCGCTGTATATATTTGACATGTAATTTTTTATATTTTATGTAAATAGTTTTATGTACGGGAGTTTCATTACTTTATATGTTTCTGTTTTTGGCGACAATTGTTTCGATTTCATTCGGAAATATTTTTTACAGTCCAAGGGTCTGTTACAGCGTCACTCCTGGTATTAAGGTATTAGGTATTAATTTGGTATTAATTAAACAAATTGTTGCATCAATACTATGTATTGTCTTTTAAGAAATATTAATTATAATATACATTGAATATGATAAACCTGTGTTTATACAATAGCTAGGTTGATTTTAATTCACAGTCATAAAAAAGTATGACAATTAACAATTAAAAAAAGTAGTTTCAATATTAACTTTAGTTTGATTTTTTATACAATCACATATCTATTTTGCTCACAAATTATTTTCAGGGTATCAAAATTGTAGAAATTTTCTAATTCTGATAACCTAAAACTAGTAAGTATATTGTGCATTATTCCTTGAAACTGCTGTATACATAGAAATAGATACAATAATCTATAATATATTTAACATGATTGACTACAGCACCCCAAATATTGTCCAGCAATTTGCCTTCAAAGTGGGGTGTTTCGTGAAATATTTATACATTTTTCATACACAATTCCACAGCTCACATTGCGCACCATTATAAAAATAAATTATAGATGCTCCTAAACTAACATTTTCCATTTATCTTGGCATGTGTTCACTGCAGATCTGTAAAATGAAAAATTATCAGAGCATGACTGAATTAGTAAGATGTCTATAAAAATTAAAGCACTTATTATATACTTGTGTATAGGTACCGTTCGTGTACAGTGCGGAATGGCATAAGGCTACCCTAGCTGCTAAAGTAGGTAGGTAGATATGATTGAATTTAAAAAAAACTATTTCGCAAAAGTACATTTCATTATTGATATAGATCTTAGAATTTCGATTTTATTAAAAAAATATTAAATTCAGATTATCTAAACCATATTCGCTAGGAAGAAAACTGTGATGTGTGAAGTTCGCCTTACGTAAATACTTAGTGTGAAGGGAGAAATATTTTGCCGTATTTTCTGATATAATTCAAATCGATTATTAGTGATTGTAATTGTAGATTCTAGATATAAACATAATTATGTTTCTGTAATAGTTTCTGCCAATTTACTACTGAAAATGAAACACTGCATGGGCAAAGCCGATAGTTAAGTCAGACAGGCCACACAATATTAATTGTTGAAGTTAGTTGTTTACTATTGAGAAAACAGACGAATTGTGCCTATTAACGTTTTAAATACAAAACATACCCTACCAAAGCGATATTAAGCCAATTTTAGACTTGATATTGACATACACGGATGATGTCTGATGATATATAGATTGACTAGCTGTGGAATAGTGACCTTGGATAGTATTTTTAATTTTAACTAATTATTTTACAAATAAAACATATACACATAAATACTTTAATAATGTATTTATAGTGTTTCAATTTCCATGCAAACTTTCATCCCCTATTTTATATTATCCCCTTAAGGATAAAATTTTTACAAACTTTGATTGTTACATTTATTTATATTGAATAAATAGCCTAAGACATGAGTTTCAAACTACGAGATTTAAAAATAATGATACTTCCATATAAACTTTCATCTCCTGTTTCAACTCCTTACAACCCTATTTCGCATTATATATAATATATTATATAAAGTAGCCTATGTCTTCTCAGGATCTAGAGTATCTTTGTACCAAATATCATTTAAATCGATTCGGTAGTTTTGAGGTGAAAGGGCGACTAGAAGACAGGCCGAGTTACTTTCGCATTTAAAAAAAATGAAATATTTATAAGTAAGGAAGTGAAATCAGCTGTATTCCTGAACTAGAATTTAATGAGGTATGTAAAGGATGTTTAATGTCGTCACAGAAATAGATAGGATGAGAATATATTTATTATTTCTACATACCTAATCTAAAAGTTGTTTATATAATATTCTACAGGAAGTAACGAGTGAGTGAGAATGAATAAAATAGGCAATACAAATAGAATAGTATTCTTGGGAAATATTGGTATTATATTTAAATAATTATGAACTAACCGCGGTTGAGCAGGACAGCGGCGTATAATTTGTCTGTGAGTTCGGAGAGCCAGGATAATTGTTCATTTGCATATGAGGTGGAGGCGGCGGGGGTGGATGGGTAGCAAGCGGCGACACGGGCGGAGCAGTAGTGCCGATGCAGCTGCCGCCGGTGTTGCTTGGGCTACCCGTCGTCGATAGCCGCGAGAACGCGGCTAGAGCATCAGGAAAATTCGGTGGCGTAGCTGGAGTGTTACATGGTGTCATCAGTTGCTGCAATGTAGTTAAGTTAGAAGTTGAATTATTATTTACCATGCTTCCTAAATAAATAATAGCATATCTATAGGCAATTATTTCTTTCAACCTTAGATTCTCAAAAGCAGATTATGTGAATATGAGAATTGGGAATGAAGTAAAAATAGAACAAGAAAGGAAAATTTTAAATAAGACCATATAATACCATGTATCAATAAGAAAACTAATTATTGAAATTAATAATGTGTGAGAGCATGCAGTGGTTAATACTGTTAAAAATTGTTATACAAAGTCTCTATGACTAAATATTTTGGTACATCCAAATATATAACTTTATATGTACACACATTATTATTACAAAAATAAAATTTTAATTGGAATGACAATCACAATGTCAGCCTACCTGAGGGTAAGTTGTACCATAAACTATATATATATATATAACAGTACTATGGATACCACACTATCACATAATTCTGATAATACTACCCATGCATTACTTATCTGGAGGACTATTGCCTTATTTAAACATTTAATCAAAACATATCTGACAATGCTTGGCAGCTGACATAAGTGAGATTGAGATTGAGATAATAGGATAATATCATACAAAGAAAAAGATGAAGTTCATTAAAATGTAGTAATTACCTGACGATAATGTGGTGCAGCAATTCCATTGGCTCCAGCAGGTATGGCAACTTCTTGAAAAAATATTGACAGAGCAGTCTGGAATTTACAATAGACAATGAAAATGATCAATATTTAATGTATGATGGGCACTCAGAGGACAGCTGAAGTACTATCACAGTAATTGAAAAGTTGTACCATACAATCATGTAAATGTTGTGACAAATTGATAAGAATTTAACATTTCTGGTGTCCTGTTATCTACTACTATTGATCTTAATGTTTGTAAATTTGTCATTGACCAAATTTATAAGCTTATGCCATGCTGATATGAATATCTATATTTAGTTCAGAAAAATGTTATATATAAACCAAGAAATTTAATACAGGTGCCATGCCTGGTCAACTCAAGTAAATACTTTTTATAAAATTGTGAAATTCTTGATTATGCAATCTCACTTGTTTTCTCCTATCCTAACTCCTAACCTATAGTTTACAGGCCCCTAGAACAAATGGAAACTCAATCTTATGTATTGGAGTAAAATTTGCACATTTACAAAAATCTATATTAACAGATTATTTCTGTATTATGTCTATGTCTATCATATATTTCAAATTCTAGTATTCTACATGTTAATAAACTAAGTCAGTATTATACACATAGTGACATTTGTATGTATGTACAAGTAGAATATATATGGAAGAATCAATAACAATATTATCAACTTTAATGAAGGTTATGTTTGTCATTATATTAACCATAACAGTTTAAATATCATGTTATTAATCTAACAGAAGCAGAATGTAGTCAACAAATAAGATTGAACAGTTAGTATATTAAAGCAAAATCATCACCTGTCAAATATATTGGCAGCTATTGCGTGTTAAATTTAATAACAAATATAGAACTAGCGCTAAATGACAGCTACTGCTTCTAAAAATGTAAATATTATTATTACTATTTTTCCTAGTTAAAATTCAATGGAATTTTCTGTTTAACTAATTATATTGTTTAGCGACCTATTATTTAGGACTTTCGGATCAGAAAAAATACCTACTTGTAGCTATCACAAAACAAAAATATAGCAGCCATTTCATGATAACTGTTTGTTTACATATATTATGAAATTTACCTCGAATTGCCAATGAGCAGCTTGTAATAATTGTCTTGCTTGTTCCTGAGCACAACCTGCTGCTAACACGAATTGATTTATCATAACTTGTTCACGTAAAGTTGAATCCATTGTACTAAAATTCAACTATAAATAAAAAGAAATTCTCTGAGCGTGAGAAGAAACAAGGAAGCGAATTTATCCAATGGCAGATTGGCAGATTTAGTGTAACCTGATTTGAAGTTCTAATAATGCTAAAACTTGTTTTCTATTATGCCAAAATGTGCTATTTTTAATCAAATATTTTCATGGCAACAAAAATAAATTAGAGATGACGTTATAAATCGTTGTCACGTAATTATAATTATAATAACATATTATAACAGAGATGAAAAGTAATAAAATACGAAGTACCTGTCCGTTTCACTAAATCAATCGGTACTCGTTACTATTTGTAGTGTCGTTTCGTTACTAGTCACTTCAGTTGAAATTGAAATGCATTCATTTAATTAAAATCTGTATTAAATAAGATTAACATCCCAGTTAGTGAGTTTTCTTGATTTTTTAGGGTTTAAGTTTTCTTTATCGTTTACATGATTTTAAAAATATATCGAATAGAATAATTTTGTTCCCAAACCATCGAAACAATTCGATATATCGATATTCTACTTTGTAATCCGTAAATACTGTTTGCGACAGCTTTACCCGTTTTGGATAGCACTTGCTACTACTACTTTGTCTATCTGTCATCTGAGCTGTCAATATCAATATGGTCAATATTAAATTAAGTGATAATAATTCGAAGAATTATTATTTTTCAGTTTAAACAGTTGTACATTACTGTACATAACAATATTTTATTCCGAATACATAGATTGTCATTAGAGTTATTTCAATTTTACTTTATTGTTAATAAGTTCTAGTTTAATTGCATTATGTGCAAATATTATCATTCATTTTGTGATGCTGTGAGTTCTTAAATTTAAATAGAATCTATTGCTGTTGATAAGTCACTGGAATCTCAAGATGTTGCAATTTATTAGAAAAGAAATACTTTGGATCAGTGTAATATACTTAATTAATATATCATGTGGATACGAACAAAAGTCAGTCAACATACATGATAACGAAAAATCAAATGTTCAACATGTACGAGACGTCACAAGGTTAAAGCGATCCACGGAATTGAAAGTAACCAGTTCAAATGAAACAAGCCCTAACGTGGACAGTGTAAATTTATCTGCGCATCTATCTAGCTCTTCTACCGAAAGTTCACATGCTGTGTATGAAAATGTTACTTCCCTTAATTCACTTGTATCAATGCAAGTGAATGTTTCATCATCGGTAGCTCCAAATATTTCGGTAGCGAGCCCCTCAGATGCTGCTCCATTGCCTGAAAAAAGCTCTGCTGAAGATGAGCATAACAGTTCAATGGCAATATTCTTTGTACTTTGTATACTGGCTTTAGGTATATTATTGATTCATCTGATGTTGCAAACTGGTTTCTCATATTTGCCAGAAAGTGTAGTAATTGTATTTCTTGGTGCACTTATTGGTATGGTTATCAATCTTATGTCTATAAAGAATATAGCAAACTGGAGGAAAGAAGAAGCTTTCTCCCCTACTGCTTTTTTTCTAGTACTTCTGCCTCCCATAATATTTGAATCTGGTTACAATTTACACAAAGGCAACTTTTTCCAAAATATTGGATCAATATTATTGTTTGCTATAGTTGGAACTGCTATATCTGCATTTGTAATTGGTGCAGGTATATATCTACTAGGTTTGGCTCAAGTAGTCTACCGCCTGAGTTTTGTGGAGTCATTTGCGTTTGGATCTCTTATATCTGCTGTGGATCCTGTAGCAACAGTAGCTATATTTCATGCCCTGGATGTTGATCCCGTGCTTAATATGTTGGTGTTTGGTGAGAGCATACTAAATGATGCCGTAGCAATTGTTCTCACCACTGCTGTGTTAGATTCTAATGATCCTTACATGTCAACGGGGGAAGCTATTTTATCTGCCATAAATCGTTTCTGGCTAATGTTCTTTGCCTCAGCTGGTATCGGAGTCTTATTTGCATTAGTTAGTGCACTGTTATTGAAACATGTGGATTTAAGAAAAAATCCTTCATTAGAATTTGGTATGATGTTGGTATTTACATATGCTCCATATGTGCTAGCTGAGGGTATCCATTTATCAGGTAAATTATTATAAGTAATTAATATTATTTTTAACATTACAAGCATAATATTTTTATGTAATGATAATATGCATCATATTATAAAATGAATCTCAAGTAATATAAACGACAAGGATGTCATTTGTGGTAGACATTAAAAATAGTGATGAGTCATCTTTTGAATTTGGACTAGATTAATATTAATCTAGTCCAAATTCAAAAGATGACACAGACATCACTATTTTTAATGTCCAATCATACTGAATAATGACTGCTGTAATCTGTTACTGTTTATTTAATTGCTTATATATTTGAAATGTATGAAGTGGTATTGAAATAGTTTCATAGGTTTGATTTAGCCTGCATAATCATTAAAAGTTACACAATTATTGTGGTCAGAACTGTAGACAGAATGAGTTAATAACATGCTTTATTACAAACTAACCATAAATTTAGAGATAGTACAGTATTAATAATAAAACACTGTGCTGATCCCAAATAATGGGGAGAAAGGCATGTTGATGAGTGTAGTGTTAAGAATTCATGATTTATTATTTGTAAAAACTATGAAGCATTTATTACAAACCTTTTACTATAGCATTGTGATAAACATATATATTTAATTCTTTTTCAGGCATAATGGCAATACTATTTTGTGGTATAGTAATGTCTCATTACACACATTTCAACCTTTCCACTGTCACTCAAGTAACCATGCAGCAAACAATGAGAACATTAGCCTTCATTGCTGAAACTTGTGTTTTTGCTTACTTGGGATTGGCTATATTCAGGTATACATAGCATATAATTATTAATGTACACATTTATTATTATTTGTAATTTACATTTGTAAAACTTCCATTCATATTCCGTCTATTCATATTTTCCTCCCATATTATTTAATAACACACTGTAGGGAGTAGGTGTTAGAAACTGCAGTGTTGACGAATTTTAGCCTTAAATATTATCATTAAAATGTCTTTTCATCCTTTATACTTTTTTCTACCACAAATGTAATATATCCATATGATAATTACTTAAACAATTCAACCAGTAACGCTAGTATATATTTCAAACAACAATCAAAAACTTACTTTTTCAACAATACATTTAAAAAAAAAGATATTTATTGGAAGACTTTATCAACATGGTAGAAAACAAAAATATGATTATTAGATATTTTGTATGTTTGTCTGAGTGTGCATGCTAATCTCAGAAACTTCTCAACTGATTGTGGGTATGAAGTTGTAGGCTCAGCCATTTTTATAATATGTAGCTAATCAATCAGGAATATTTTGAAAACAGTTTCAGGCACCGTGTGGAGCCAGCACTCGTTATTTGGAGCATAGTGATGTGCCTTCTCGGCAGGGCGGCGAATATATTTCCTCTGGCATTATTGTGCAACAAATTTCGCGAACATAAAATTACAAAAAAAATGATGTTCATCATGTGGTTTAGTGGTACGTAGCTATATATTTTTAAACTGCATTTTATGTAAAACTGTCAAGTACACAAGTCAGACTAGATCTCTGACTTGTGTGGAAGTTGATCTGACATAGTACATTATTAGCAATAGGGTCACTAGTCCACATTATAAACAATTGCTCCTAATATAAATATTAATATATGGGAAAAAGTAATATGTACTAACTGTTCTAGTGAATGCTATACAGGTTGTATTGGTCTAAATATTCGGCTTGTAATTGAACCTATGTATACATATGTGTGTACTCAGTTACAAGTAAAAATTCTTATATATCCATATTAAGTAAATCCTAATCATGTTATTTTCTCATTAGAACAATATGTAAATAAATTAAAAATCTGTTCATTTGTTTGGAACCCTCTGTGTGGGAGTTTGACTCACTCTATCAGATTTTTTATTGACTATGTGTGAGAAATATATTATTGATGTTATGATAATGATGATACAGGTATTTGATGGGGACACCAGAATTTTAATAACAGGACGCAATGTTTTCAGGATTACGTGGTGCAATTTCTTACGCTTTGTCCTTGCATCTTGGTTTTTCTGACGAAACTCGCCATGTGATCATAACAACAACACTTATTATAGTTTTATTTACTACATTATTCTTGGGCGGATCCACTATGCCGTTATTAAAATTTTTGCGAGTAAGTATTATTATTAATCATTAATTTGCAAGTATACATAATCTTCACTTATATTATCCATTCTATCATATTATTCATGTGAAATTAGACGTCGACCTAACATGGTACATCGCTATCAATGGAGTCACTACTCTATATTACTCCTTCTACTCTCATTATTGACGATTTCCTCCATAATTTCACATTTTAATTGCTTAATACTATACCAAATTTCGTGATGAGGGTAGTTTGGTATGGAGAAGGCTATTTTTATTCCCGTCAAGCAAGTCAACGAAGTCGCGCGCGAATAAATATGTTTGGTAGACACTAGGCCTTTTCACAGTACAATCATTATGTGACTGGTAGTTTTTATGAGGAAGAAGAAGATAATTGGGAAATTTGTTCAGTTTCATGAATTATATCCTTTAAGACTTCTGTATATAACCCTGTAAAATACTAATGTAATATGTGTTTTAGGCCAATAAGAAAACAAAACGTTCACGGTCTTTAAGAAAACAAAAAGAGGTAAGTTTATCAAAGACAAAGGAATGGGGTCAAGCCATTGATTCAGAACATTTATCAGAGATGACCGAGGAAGAATTGGAGGTACGTAAATGTTGAACTTTATTAAATTTTAAAACCTTTAATAATATATTTTTTTAAATATAAACCTGTAATTGTTATCTATTGCCGACAGGTTCAAAATGTAATTTGTATGATTTACAGGTTAATTATTCACATGCAACAAGATTACGCGGCTTTGTGAGATTGGACATGAAGTATTTGACGCCATTCTTCACTAGACGGTTTACACACCAGGTGAGAAAATGTAGTTATATATGAAAATTGAATATAAAGAAAAGAAGCGTATCGTGCCTTGGCGGGGCCCCGTATAAAAATTTGTTTGGTATAAAACTAATCTTTACCCTTCATAAGGGCCCCCCTTTTGAAGGGTAAAGATTACTCTTTCCAAATTATATTTTTATTTTCAAATTAAATATACACTCTCCTTGATTTTTTTTTGGCAAACAGATTTATAAAATTATTTATAGCTGATGTAGGGAAAAATATTAGCATTTTTTACTTTTGTCATTTGTGAAAAAAAAAGCAATAAATTGGGAAGTAATTTAGCTTATAGCTTACGCACGTTGGGTGCCCCGTATATTTGATACGGCAGATATGGTGGTAGCTACGCCCCTGATAAAGAGGAAGTTTTGACCTCTTCCTGCGATCTATATTAAACTAACTATGTTAAATTTGGTTACGTTTTTTTTACATTTTGATTCTAGTTAATTTATACATTAAGTAATCATTTTTTGTATGACTACTGATCTGTTTGGATACATACTTCAGTTCAGAAGAAGCGGCTAAAAACTCAACTGGTACACTTTTTTTATTTAATTAATTCGTTTTCTTAATTTGTCTTATCGCAACTTTTACTTTTATTTTTTCAGGAACTTAAAGATTGTAAGAGTCAAATGACAGATCTTACTAACCAGTGGTATCAAGCTATAAGAATTACAAATGATCGGGAAACAGATGAGGAAGAAAGCTTGCAGCAAAGCTCCCTTTCGAATTCTCATAGCAGTCTTCAAAGAGGAGTGTGAGCTTGAATTTAATATAGTTTTGATCAATATTTTATTTTGAGAACACCTTAGAGGGTGCATGTTATATTTCTAACAATGTTTAAATAATTATGTCATAACACTTAGTGCAATACGTTTTTTTAAAAGGCCATTCAGAGATCAATATTTGAGATCATTTGGATTTTATGCACCTGAGTTTATTGTCTAGTGATAATGGTATAACGTCTCACGTTGTACAGTAGGTACAATTAGTGTTTATTACAGTGGGTAGCTGTTTTATAGACTATTTATTATATTATATATTTAAATGTTCACATATGGACATAATCAATTATAGTCAGTGATTGTGATAATATTACAAACGCTACCCCATTGTTTTAACGTTTCAAACCATAATATCTAGACACGCGGGAGCGTGTCAAAGCTGAGTTCAAGTAAGATATAATGTACAGCCATTGATTTAGAAAATATATAAACTTTGAATCTAATAATTTTACAACTTATATTAGAAACTACACTAAATTAAGGCAATCTTTTTACAACGCCAAAGACATACAAAATAACAAAGACCGAGACTTTAAATTAATTACAATATAGTCTTTTCTTATTGAAACCATTTTATCCTTAATCCAGAAAAAGAAAAATGCTTATTTTGACTATAGTTAAAATATTGACATTAAAGCAGGCTTGAGCTTTTATTCCTACACTTTTTAATACCGACCAAAAGTTTATATTTAACAAGTTAATGTTTAGAATTATTGGTTTTAATGAATGTGTATTCAAATGTGATTTTGTGTGTAAATTTTCATTTAACCTTGAGAATGTAAATACTTAGAATACGTGTAATAAATTTTACTGGATATTTTCCCCAAAATAGTTTGTATTTTAATTTTAATTGTCTATCTATAAGTAACTATATATTTAAAGTTGAAATGCAAAATATTAGGGTAGAAATTTGAAACATATTTATTCCGTTATTTGTGCATTTTTGTCTCAAGGCTAAATGTATAATGCACCTATTTATAGTTAACGTATAACTGATTAAGTGTTGTTGAGTAGCTTTAATTTATTTATGTGTATGTATATTCAGTCACAATAATAAAGATGACTCTAAATAAATAACTAAAATTACTTTAGAGTTTCTAATAGGTATAATCTAACTCATCTTTTCAATCAGCTTTATATTTTATAGGTTTATTTTTTAAATTAGGTATTTGAAATTGTGTTATACTTAGTAACTTTCTATGCAAAATTAAGCAAAAGTGCTATAATATGAAAATAAACACCACAGGTGGTTTGTCTAGAGATTATAAAAGATTTTTACCACGATAGGCTTTGTACAAAGTCGTCTACTTTCCTATTAAACTATTGCGGCTGCCATACAGCTTCCTTTGTACACTTAAATTCGGTTGAAAGATAAGATATTGCAGGCTACAGGCGTGTGACATCTTAGTATTTCAGAGGAATGATAACTTGTGAGGAGTAACACGAATGTCAATAGATGGCGTGCTGTAAGTGTATTTCGTGTACATGGACGGTTGCCACATATCGTCATGTTGGATGTCAGTTTGTTTTCAATTAAAAGTAGTTTTTTTTTTCAATGTATTTGACATAAAAAAAACTTTATTACGATGAAATGTAATTTGCTCATACAACATGTATTTCACTGTACTATAGGTATGTCATGTGACTTTCTTCTTACTCATGTGTTGTTAAGGTAGTTTTATTGCGGAAGAAAGTCTTGAAATAATACAAAGAAATAGGATTCTTGAGCATATCGATTTTTTGGCATAGAGGAATAATTGGTAATGGTGCCGTCCTATTGGAAATGCTAAGGTTTTATAATTATAGTAATTTAAATTATCCCACAATAATTTATTAAACAGAACTAATGTGGTAGCAAAAGTAGTCTGTCTAAGTTCTTATATATTTTTAGCTAAATTAAAATATGTTGAGATTTTTATTTAACAATGTTTAAAAATCTGGTTGTGAGTCAGACTCACATACCCAGGGTCCTTTACAAATATTTAAAGACAGCTATAGTTTTTAAAAGTTAATTTATTTTAGTAGTACTTCACTATATTTAAATATAACGTTATTACATCTGTAAGATATAGATGCTAAACATTATGTAACTAGGGATTCCTTGGTTTAGATAAAATGTTATAAAATAATTATGCTTGTATGTATTAATTTGTTAAAATTTTGCACAAGTTTTTACATTTTCTAATAATCAAATTTTCCCTGCTAAATAAAATACGATAAAAAACGAAAAATTAATAAATTAGGTCTTATATAAATTCCTCTTTTTCATACTATTGGCATCCCAGTTAAGCTACTTAACTTACCTATTATATATGCTTACACTATATTGTAACTGATATATTGCTAATATATCACTTTTGGCTAAAGCCTATGTAGTTACTGTTGTTTTGGAATAAGTAATTTCTTTTGGTCATTGTATTTCAATATAGTATATATGTATGTAATGAAAATGCCGCAATACATCAGGCATTTCAGCGCAGCAGATGGCGACAGCTGGTCGACAAGATAGTATAGAGTCAGGATCCTCAGCAGTGAGGGAACAATTAAGAAGAAGAATATGTATGTAAATGAAATGCTTATATAATAATACACATTGTAATGTATAATTAAGTATTCTTATAGGCATAGGGCAGAGAATTATTCCAAATATTTAAAATACAAAATCTGTGTTATTATTCTGCAAAATATATGTATTCTAGAGACACAAATGTTTTTATTTTATTCTTCTTCATTTTCCAAATTTATATGACTGCCAAATTTCCCATACAAGTGTGCTTTTAACTCGCCCATCTGCGATTTGAGTTCCTCACATTTAGCTTCTAGCTCACTTATTTCATTTTCCTTTCTTGTTTTTGCTGTTTCTAGAGATTTCTGTAAGATTGAATTATGATCATTATTTAAAAGTATACAGCATTGTTGTATTTATGTACAGAAAAATTGAGCTGGTATATTTTTAGTCAATAGTCAGTTATTTATCTAGCTCTGAAAATCCAATGTTTCATTTCTCTTAGTCAGATTTTTATATTTTAGGAAATGTCATTTTTAGTCGAATTACAATTGATACTGAGCATGAATAAGATTTTGTTTATGTCAATAATTAACTAATGAGTTAGGATATCTATCCCCATTCTTCATCATCTTACGTAAGTAGTTAAGTCACCCTAATTAAGATTACAATCACTATAGGAATATAGGTACTCAGTATTCAATTATAATATTCGAAAGTTTTACAACAAATTATTTTAATATTAGATATAAAGTGGATTAGTATGGTTTATTTACTTGTTCATGGTGTTGTTTAATTATTAAAATATTACATGCCATCAATATGACTATATGAATCTAAGTAACAATTTTTTTGTTATATAAAATTTATTATTAAGAGTATATTTTTTTAATAGTGGGCCTGAATAAAAAAAATCATTTGTGTACTTAATAGCTCATTATTAACCCTTCAGACGTTTTGCACAGATCTGTGCACCCCTGTTAAACCATATTACCATCTTGTCAGATCTGTGGCCTTAAAACCAAGTCTTCTTTTTAACCAATTTAGTTCTTATTTAAAACAAAATAAGATTGAAACGCATTTGAAAAAATACAGTTGGCACACTCTTACCACCTCTTCACTTTTGGTCACTGTGACAGACGGCAGACATTCAAAAGGTTAACAAATGCTTCACATTATTGTATTCTGTACACAACATGTACTTTATAATTCTTTTAGTAGATGAATATATACCCTCAATATATAGTAATAGATAAAGCAAGATGCATTACCACTTAATGCTATTATGCCTAATATATTCAGAACAACAAATAATTTAACTGAATCACTGAGTTGTAAGTATGCAGGATAAGACAACATGTCTAATAACAATTATTAACTTACTAAAGTATCTTCAAGACTTTGGCATACAAAGACTTCTCCAATCAAATATGGAATTTTCTCTGAGTCATCTGCAAGACTTAGCTCTTCTACAGCTTCTTCTAAATTCTTCATATCATTCTGTTTAACTTTAAGTTCATCTTTGTAATCATCTACTTTAGCATTAAGACGAGCAAATTTATTAATTTTTTGCTGATCTTCATATGATATATGAACATCTGAATCCTGAAACGCACAAAAGCAAATTAATAAATATTACTTATATTTACAGAATTAATAGACTAAAGTGTCACCTGGTTACTATTTTTAATAGTAATCCGTCAGGGGCAAGACATAACTTCAAAGGTTTAATTGTATATTAAAAGATTTTACTGCATACATTTTAACATATGTCGCAAAGTGATGTGTAATTCCTACATGTTTTTGCTCATAGTATTGAATTTAGCGCAAGAAAACTACTTTCTAGCGAGACATCTGAACTTCGAATGTTTTGATATGCGCTCAAAATCTGAGATTGAAAAGAAAAATGGAATTATGTTGAAATTTTAAAACTGCTCAGAGCTCAAATAGCCGTATTATGCCGTAGATCTGTGGTCATTTGTGTAGTTAAAAGTATATTTGGCGCTCGCTTAATAGTGATAAAGTGAATCAAAACCAAGCCACCTGTTTTTATTTTGTCTAAAACGTTACTTACCGGTTGAAAAGTACCTTTTCCGGAGCCTGACATTTTTGTAATATTATTGACGACTATTATTATATATGATAAATTTAAGAAAAAATTGTTTATATTTTATAAATTTAAAATATAATAAATTTGTGTTTGGTTTCTAATCTAGTATTCTGAATTCTGAAATCCTGATCTATTTTAGTCCGGGCTCAGTGTGCGTCAGTCAATCAGTAGTAAATCATTTTACACGTCAATTACCAGTTGACAGATGTACGAGTCATGTTGCTTGCCATTTTTGGAACCTTTGGTAACCTTCGTGTAACTTTTTGTTAATTACATTACGTATTTTATTTAACTATTAAAATTGAATTTGAAATAACTGCGTATTTATTTTTTGGGTAACATGAAGATGATTATTGACATGATTGGAGAATGATTTGATTATACTTATTTATACCTACACATAAATAAAATTGAAGTGTCTGTTTATAATATTGAAATAACCTTTTTTACAATTTTTGTCCATCTGTCTGTCGGTCTGTTTGTTCTCTGAAATGGCTGTATCTATTTTGACGGGACTTTTTTTTGCAGGTAGCTGATGTACCTAATAAGGAGTAACTTTGGCTACTTTTATTTTAGAAACATAAAATTAAATTCCACGCGGACGATGTCGCGGAAACAGCTAGTATTTAATATATAATAAAGACTAGTTAAGAACCTAAATTACGTCGTGACCGGTCTAACAGGGTTGGTGCAGAAAAGTTTGCTGGCGGGGCAAATTTAGGTCTACAATGTAGTATAGTATTATAATAGCCGTCACATAAATCCGAAATTATTAAAAAAGTAGGTATATATATTTACTAATAATTAATTCATTACTCGACATTAGACCTCCATGGCCGAAACATATAGTGAGTTCAACAATATCGTATTACAATTTATATTTCAGACTGACTCTCCGGTTATGGAAACCCCAATAACAAATTAGATTATGAGAGACAGCGCGGCGTTAGACTCGGCTCTTGCCACGCTTTGAGATACTATGACTATATATGCAGACCAATATGGAAATACATAGATTAAATGTAAGGTTTGTCAAGTAAGGAACTCGTAAATATAAGCAGGATGATCATCATCTAGAATTGGTCATCAATTCGAAAAAGTCATCGATTTGACAATCTGCATTGTAATGTAAATAATGAACTGCGCCTAATATAATGTACCTACCTACTACCTAATTTTATTTCGTTTCTTTATTTATTCAACATTTGTAAGTTGTATAAAACTACTTAGTTAGAGTTAGGACTGAGTAAGTTAATTATTATTTGCATTGCATTTATATATACATAAATAATTGATATCACAGTGATATCAGGTGCTGTAATACCTTTTGTTAGTAGGGATACAAATTATTATTAATAGAAAATATTATTATATTCTGGTATACATTAGTAGGTAAAAATATTGTTAGATATTATTATAATTATCTAATAAAGTGTAATAATTAAGATGACTGTCGAATCTACCTGTCCAATCTTTTCGCTCTTATAAATTATATTTACCTAAGCCATGATTTTGTCCTTATACGTTTTGAATTAAATAAGTTTAGTCTTAGAAAGATTTATCTGCAAATTAATTAGTTCCATCCACTTTACAACATTGTACAGTGTTATATTTATATAATTTAATTTTTAGTAAGTACCTATCTGTAACAGAGCATTGTACGTATTCAAGATTTTCCTTTATAATACCTCTAAGAATTTTATATATGGTAGGTATGTAATATTAGATATATGTAGTCTGTGTAGTAACATGAATATGTTCATATATATAGACAGACATCAGTCTATATATATGAACATATTCATGTTGTAAGTATTTTATTATGTTAACTTGGGCAAATAATAACTTGGGCACGAGTTACGATAAAATAGGAATAGCCTTATTAAATACCTACACTAGATCATGATCATTCAAAACACCTATCTTTGAAAGTTCGGCATTCATAATTAAGCTTACAGGCATGTCATTTAAGAGAGAGAGTTTAAGCATTCTATGGATGAAGATAAACACTAACTGTATATACTTAATATGAATATAACTCCGGATTTGTCACCAATCCCCATCACCTCCATTTACATCCAAGTGAGCGCAACGCCGGTCTACCCCACCACGGCTGCGCCTACGCACTTTGCATTGCTCGAAACCATTCACTCGTCTGACTCGCCGCACTTCTACTTCGATCGTCAAACAAAACGCGCGCAACCGACAAGACTCAATTTTTTTTGTGAAGACTACAATTTCGTGATGGAGAAGGAGCATCAACCGGACTCCATGGCGACTATCACCATGAAACCGGAATACCCACCCTCTGAAGTGTACAGCACGTCGGAACCGCCACCGGTATGAGTTACCCGTTATTCATTAACAATTAAGTTAAGCAGTTATGATGTCAGATGTCACACGGAACTCCCTGCATCACCTGAAACTAGACTAGTAAGTACCTAGTAGGAAACCTTCTGAAAAATATGGTAACTGGTACATACAATAGTTTTTATACGCACAGCCTTCACAAATGAAATAATTTCATATACATACAATTTCCGATAATAGTTTTAATATTTAAATGACTTCATTCAACTGATTAAACGGATTGTTTAACTAGTTTTGTGGAGCCATTACTTTAAAACTATTATATTGTGTAGGCTAAGTGCAGTATAAGTACGGGAAAGCGCCTTTCTCTCTGGTTGCAGTGGCTGCTGGTCCGCTCACCTCGCATAGCTGCTTGTTTATAAACAGAGAATTGTCTAGCGGTGCACACCGGTTGCGAATAATAAGCACTTCGTTTTAAACTATATAAAAGTATAATAAAATCTTATAAGACTAATTCCATAGTTTTGTCACGTTATCGAATGACGCAACTTGCCTACCTGGGTAGAACACACGAAGTTTTTATGTTTATAAAATACATTATGTCGCTATAGTAGTAGTACCTACTTTATATTTTTTTGGCGTTGTTATTTATTTATTGATATCATTTATAATGGGGGTACCTATTTTGTTATTCATAAATTGATGAACTGGCTTCTAAAATACCGGTTTATACTTAGTTTAGTTACGAGTACCAGAGAATATAGTGTAAAAATTTGAAAAAACAAAGTTATTATTATTATAAAAAATATACTACGGCATTTGAGTTGTTTGTCGTACCTATTCACAGCAATCAATATCGATATAATATAGTCTATATATATACTTGTGTCGAATAGAAAATTCTAAATGTTCAATGTTATGGCGTCCAAAAACTTGTCTAATGTTTTGGGATAAAGTTAGAAGTATCTATTCCCCATATCATAGAAACGGTTGTTATTCTTGTATTAACCTACAAAGTCCAGTGCTGGTTACATAATAATATATAACGTAAAATACAAAAGTATATGGCAGCAGAAAATTCGTAAATTTTTACTTACACCATATACTTATTAACGTCATGTTTTACATTTTATATGTAGTGTAGTGAAAACTGTGTATGTACAAATACCAACAGACCATAAGAATTTTATGGAGTCGTGTTGAACGTGTGCTACATAATAATCAGACAATCCACACGACTTTTGTTCTCACTTGTAATAATGTCAATTTTTTTATATGTACGTAGATGTGTCTAGCTACTACAAAATTCTTTCCGTTATTTACGTTACTTGAAACTAAATTAGTTTAGGGTCGATGTGCAAAGTACCATTATTGAGGAAATTAGACCTTATCAAATAGTCCATATAGACTTGGTTGGGTATATCTTATATATAAAATTTTCGTGTCACAGTTTTCGTTCCCATACTCATCCGAAACGGCTTGACCGATTCTCATGAAATTTTGTGAGCGTATTGAGTAGGTCTGAGAATCGGCCAACATCTATTTTACATCCCCCTAAATGTTAGGGGTAGTCCACCTCTAAATTTTTTTTTATTTTAAGGCAAAACAACGTTTTCCGGGACAGCTAGTTGTTATATAATAATATTAAGTTGTCTGAAATAAATAAATAAAAATAAATATTACTTTATATATCAAACACCTGCATCATGTATGTAGTCTTAAATTAAGTAAGAAAAGCGTGTCCTGTTGACAGGACAAATAATACAGATATACTAGCATATAATTAACTGTATAATGCATAGGCGTAGAGATCAGAACGGAAGTAACAAAGAAAAATAGTATTTTTTTATGAAATAGAAAAAAATCTAAATAAGGAAATACACGGCAACTTAGATAAATGCAAGATACGTTCCTTTCCGAGAACAGTGGGCACACGTATGAATGTGGGAAACGCATTGTTCTTTTGTACTTGGCCACCTATTATAATTGGCCGTAGCTAATTATCTTGCAATTTCATCAATGGTGTATCTATAGCGATTGCCTTATGTACTAGACGCAGAGGGGATAATACTATTAGGATCTACTAATAGTCAATACTATATAAGTATGAAGAGCGAAAGAGCACGGGTCAAATTATATAATTATAGTACGTAGGTATTAACAATTATGAATTGTAATTGATTAAAATTGAAGGGTTTGCAATATTCTATTACCTAATTGATATTTGCAGATGCAAGCTGATTTGTATTGTATATATATATAAATCTTATAACTTATATATCGGGCTATATAACAAGTACTGAATCTGAATAAGTCGCGAGTAAAAAATAATAATTAATTCGATGCAAAAGGTTTTAAAGTTTTTATATCGTAGACCATTGCAGTTTTGATTAGGTAATATGGGTTTTGGAGAACTAATAGATACACCTTCTGAAACATATACTATTTAAAAATTTTGATGTTGATTACTTTGAAGGTTCATCAAAATCCGTTCAGTAGTTCTTGAGTGAAAGAGTAACAAACATCTATCCATACTCTCAGAAACATAGTAGTTTATAATATTAGTAAGATTTATATCAGGTTATATTATTTTCAGGTTGTCTTATAGACACAATTAGACATGATTATACTTTCATTTAACTTTAAATATTATTCATAAGTTAGTAGTAGTAGTAATATTACTAGATGAAAATTCAGACAATACGAAGTATTTATCTTACTTGATCTTTAGTATGGATGTTATGAACTTGGTACCCATTTTGCGTGAATAATATAGGTAAATAATCATTTTACTGCGCCATATTTTCAGTCAGCTGTTATACTAACGAATAGCAAAGTTTATTTACTTTGCGGTACAAATGGGGTACACAACACTTGTTTAAACAATTTATTCTCAACAAGTTGACTTTTAAACTTATCACATTTCTGTAATAGCAGTACAAAGTGTTATTAAGACAAGAAATCTGAATTATATATGATACGAATGATTTCATACGCCTTCATTTTGATTTACCTACCATAGAGTAATTAATAGGTATATGTTTTGTATGTCCGACACAAATTACCTACTTTTGTAGATACTATCTATTGATAATAATCGACATACTCGGACGTCAGTAACAAATAAGACATTACGACTTTATGCTTTACACTTATGTGTTATCCTAAATATTTAACAACATAATATACTTGGTAAATTTCTTCTTAATTCTTTCAGTGGTTTCTATCTGAAACTAAGTATATATATAAGTATAAGAAAAGTCATAATTATTTATTTTCATAGTTACCTGCGTGGGTACCTAATCATAACTCTGAATATAAAACAAGAATATATTCATTAGATGTTAGTTATTAGATAAAGAATAAAGTAAACAATTCAGGTAAAATCAAGTTTTCAATTGTTAGATAGATAGGTACTAACTATTTACTCGCTAGTTGACTAAGTGAACACAATGGCACTTGCGTCACTTTGCATCGGTCGCGTTCGACCTCACCAAGCGTCGCCATCATGTCCGCAAACTAGATTATTATTGCTCTTGTCGTAACATCCTACTTTTAGCGACTTAGTAAAAACCTACTATTTACACAGAACATTGACAAGTTACATTTTTTACGTTCCAGCGAGGAGTCTTCTATTACGCAGTAAAATAATAGTTACATTAAATCGCAAATCATGATTGTCTGCCGGATAGATTTGAATTTCGATTGTTTCATATGAGCGGACATTACTGCTATTAAAATTTGCATATCGGTGTAATAGCCAGTTAAATAATAATAATATATCATGTATATATAATATAGCATGTAATGTTAGGGTATCGGTGGTACAACTCACACTAGTTCCAAGCTAAGCAGAGCTTGTGTTATGGATACTCGATAACTGATATAAATATATAGATACATTTTTTTTGTAAATACATATATAATATGTATACAAAACACCCAGAACACCCAATACAAACAATCATACTTATGAATAAAATGCATGTACCATGCTAGGAATCGAACTCGCGACCATTGAAAGTAAGGCGGTGTGCTGAACCTCTAGTCCTACGAGGGCGTTTGTAACATAGTAGCAGACCCAACATTTTTCATTGCAGCCCTGCTACTATTGATCGTAGTATAATGTCATAAATGTATTGGTATAGAGTCCATTTCTATTCACGTAATAGATTATCTTGCATTTTGGTAAATTGTCAATTACTGAATGAAAAGCCGAGGTTTAAGTATTTGTTTATTTAATGAAACTTATTAGAATTATTTGCGTTATTTAAAATAGTTCGAAAATCAAAATAGTTACCTAATAGTAATGGTTTACTTATAAACAGATTGAAATAAATGAAGTTACATGAACGAACGTTAATTTTTGACTTGGAATGACAAATAGTCAATGCGACTAAGCTTTTGATACATCTACATAAAAAATATCGAGATATAGATGTATTAAATAATCCTTATATTTTTAATAAAATAATTTCTTAAGGGCTGAAATAGGGGCTAAGCGTTGGTATTGAAAATATGTACTATTTTAATTTAATTTTAGTTAGGTAAGTAAACTTTGTACTGTGAGTACAGAGTAGTACAGAAAATTACAGAGTGCCAATAAGCACTGCTTTATTTATAGACACTACAGTAATAATTATAATGTATGTACTTAAACTTGTCCTGATAAACTGATATGTCTTGTATTTTTATAATTAACTGGTTATGTAGAGAAATCCGTAGAAAATAAAATATTAGAAGACTGGCGAGTTTGCAACAGTGCTCATAAGAAGTTGGTACAAAATCGTAAAACAGTTACACCGTAATCAGTGCAACTGTTTTACGAATTTGTGTCAATTAGAATAAATATACTTAAATTATATTTGAAGTTAAATAAAACTTGTAAACCTTTAATTCAAAAACATGAAAACAAGTAAAACCTCTTTATTTCAGCATTACCAAAGCTTGACGATGTGTTGAAAAGTACTTAAGTACACTTACTTAATACAGTTAAGTTCTTAACATATACTAAGCATTGCTTCATTACCAGTGTGCTTGTTGCAAGTATTTAGTGCTACTTGTCCAATTAGCATGTGTATCGATACTTTAACATAATAAACTTTCCGTTGCGTAAGAACTTGCCATATTTTAAATATTATTTTAGGAGTCTTATATAATAAAACTTGATGCAAAAAGACAAGCAGGTATATTTACCTGCAGTTTGATTTTTTTGATCAAGTTATCTCCCATTCCAGTATGAATTTGTAAAAGCCCTTTTAAAAGTAGCTAGGCACCTGCATTTAAAAGGGATAGAAATGTTATAAAAATACATTTCAAATAAAATTAATCTCAGTAACCTCTGAAAACAGAGGTCATTCCATATTCCAGACAATCTTTAATATAAATTTTAGGTGGTTTAATATTGTTTTAATCGGCTATAAAATTGTTAATAAATAAACTGACACCAATTTCTAGTCAGTTACTTCCACTAGTGGTCTAATATACACATATATATATATATATGTTTTTAGCTCAGGTATTTAGTTATGTTTGTATTATGTAGAATATTAACTGTAACTGTGTCCAACTATATGTAATATTATGTTACCTGTGGTCCAACTAAGGAAATGATAGTGGAGTTGAGTTCGAATCTGCCAAATTGAAATGTTTTATCATCTCTACAGTGAAAACAACCACCGATGTCACAAACAATACCGTCCCCTCTAACAGAAACCGGTTTTTTTTACTGATTATGGAATTGTGACATGGCAATTTATTTTTTCTGTACTTTATGTATGCTATGTGTTTACAATTGATGAATAAATTTGACTAGGTATCTATTTATTCATTGAGAATTAATCGGAAGGGTTTGGACGTAGGTAGATCTTCAAGTTAAAATCGGTTAGTTATTATATTAGATAAACATAATTAAACACTTAATGATGTTTTCGGAGAGCAAGTTATTTAAAACACATGAACAGGAACCGGTTTACAATGACGTAAATGTAAGTTGGCCATAAATGTAATACTGGATTACTCATATATAAATTTAAATATTTAAGAAAACAGTAAATATCTTTAACTATCTACCTTAATATGGAAAAATAGTGTTGTAGCCATCGAAATTGTATAACATTCTGCAGTCAGATTAATACTATTAAATAATTAGATATATTTATACTTCACAGCGAACCTATAAATCAAGGGCCTATTCTTGTCTGTCATTTGTAGAAAGCTACAGTATAATAAATAATATCACCTACTTATAGTATAATAAATAATAAAATACAACATGTAATCAGATAATTTTGTCTTTCTACTGCGTTGGTGTCCATACAGTGGAAATTTAGAGAAAACTTTTTTTAGAATGTATGTATGCCTTTGAAATCATAGCAGCTACTATTGTAAAATTCAAGTTTCTGCCCTCAGCCTTTAAGTTGTGCATTTGTAGATCAATTATTCAGAAGTATTATAGATTAAATATTAATATTCTTTTTTTTATATGTAAAATATATTGATTTCTTTAAACTTAATCTATAAAAATATTAATAGGTATTTAAGAGGGTAACAAACATGCATTAAATAGAAATCGTTAGGTCAAATAGAAATTATTAGATAGTCAGTTTCTCTGATTTGTTTAAAATTACTACGTAGCGATACGGATTAGTAGAGCTGTACGCATCTTAGCAAAACAAATTGTTTAGATTGAAATCGGCGCCGTTTAACACCACGCTAAAGATGATGGATTTCTCGAATGCAATCGTACTTTCACCACAGCCCGAACGGCCCGTTCTCGTGCGCCACCACAACGTCGCCGCGCCGTATCGTACCGTGCAAAAATTATGTAAGCTTGCTTTTAAGCACTAAACGATCATAGCTCAAAAGTCCTTTAACGGTATATCTTATGATATATATTACGTTATACTGTTAAAAATAACCAAATCAGTAGATATTAGATCAAGTTAATTACAATTAGGAAATAAAGATGTGTGTGGATAAATTATATCTAATTAATTTTAACAGTAAAATAAACTGTAAATTTATTTCTTTTTTTGGATGCAATTATATTTTTTTATTTACTGTTATTTTTAGTAATATATTTAACAGATTTACATTAATAATATTACTTTAGATGTACAAATATAACAATAACATGTCAAATTAATAATTTATGGAAACAAATAGGTTTCGAGTATGTTATTTAAAATTTGTTGTGTTTTAGTAAATTTTAAAATTACATATTTAGTCACAGTTTAAATATATATTATTGTTGAAATATAGAGAATTGATATCAGATTTCTTTATATGTCCTTATTTCATAAAGTAAGAGTATGCTTTAGATAACATGTTTTCACAAATGTATATGGATAGTACACCCGCTAACGATCTTCGTTGGCGAGGCGCCAGTGGAGAATAATAGGACGAGCATGCAGCCAGGATATCGTGGCAAATATGTAAGAAGTTAAATAAGATAATTTCTAGGGATATTCGCCCGGAGTTCCATGTGACATACGTGTTTTTATTGATTGATGGGTCTTTAACATAAACTTTGACTTATTCATTATAATTGTAGTTAATTACTCCATAAGACTGTTTATATATGTATATACAGGCCGACACTCAACGATTTGTACTAGATTTGACTATAGAGTTACACTTATTGAATATAATAATTACAGATGCATTTGTTTTAACAGGCGTATCGTCATCGGGTGTCATCATCTGTACAAATAGCAAGGATCGCAGCGCTAACGGTGGTGGCAGCTTCCTTCATCCTCGGAGCATTCATCCTAGCATCCAGCTGGGTAGCAGCCCGCGCCTCTTGTCACCAACTGGAGCAGCTCGATGCTATGCTCGACAAAGAACTCGCTCTGGAAGGTAGAGCGTACGGGAACGATGGTCTGATAGCGGTAAGTGTACCACATAAGTTATAAGAACCATCGTGACAGCTTGATACTACATGTAAACTAATTGATACTGATAGGATCTAATGTAGGTAATTATATTTGTGTAAAACTAAAAAAAAATTCAATTTTAAACATTGTAACGACAGATAGGTATTTATATAGATGAATTCATCATTATATTATGATGTTAAACACAGATGGCTTTTACTTAATTATTAGAATTAACTTAATAAGTACACATTTTAAACAAGATCTAACTGGATCAAACATCTCTCTTGAAATACGTGTTTTTGCCACCTTATAAATATTGATAATGATTGACCCATTATACAATAGGTAAATTTTACAATAAAGAGTCCTAGGATATTTTAATGCATTGTGTTCAAATATTTTAATGAAAATTGATTATTATTGATATCTATGTTAAAATAATAATATACAATCACTTAAAGAAACTTGCGAACTAATATATATAAGGTTTTTTAATCTACTCTGGATGTACATATATACGATTTTGTTGTGCAACCCGACAACCTTGTTTTTCAAATTTTATGATTTCGTAAAGCCTTGTTGTGGTGCATGAAAATAAGTCGTACAATCTCGACTTAAATCTAAACATTCTAATTTAATCGTTATTTTTGTTTGATATTTTGTGTGATGGCATGTAAGAATGTTGACACTCGGCTTATGGTACATTGTGTTAGAATAAGGTACAGCGACGTCGCGGCGTCGTGTTGGTGCCATGTAGCCACGTCGCGGCAGTATTCGGCATCAGCCAACCCAACCGGCTCACCTTGAATCTCTTCACAGATGACGCAAAGCCACGTTTCTAATGTTATTATGATTTTATGCAACAGTTCAGGACTCGGAAGGCTATTTTAATTGGCGTCGGTGTATGTAAATAATGAAACAGTTGTTATAGGTGTACCAAAGTAGTACCTAATTTACTCTACAGGTCAATGTCAAAGTACGAAGGTATCGACAGTTACGAGTATATTCATTTCAGATATAGATTAGATTAATTTCTCTCAGTATATATGTGAATGTCACCAAGCCAAAAAATGAGTTGATTAATTATTTAAAAATACAAAATAGGTTTGTAAGTGAGCGAACGATGTGAGTTAACTGAACGTTCAGTTTAAAAATGTATTGCTGTTCACAAGGTTAAACTAAAGTTACGAAATATCTTGAGAACAAAGATTTACCTATACTGTGTGGCGTTTATGGAATTACCTTGCTTCAACGATCACTTTTTAGTAGAGGAGGGATAAGTCAAAGGTCGGCAACGCCGGCGCAGCGTCTCGTGCTTCGTCACGCAGACGGTGCAGACCACAAGTGTCGATCATATCATATATCCTTTATGATGCTATAGCATAGAAACCATTTTTGAGTTGATGATCATATAGCGAAAGTAGTCGACGATGGTCGTGGTCAATGAACTCAGTCGCGTTGCATCTATTTGCAATACATGAAAGTCGAACCTTTTCATATTTAGCATTCACTCGTTAAGTTGCGAAAGAGTGCAACAAAGTGCTCCTATGTAAGATGGTTCTGCGGTAAATAATTTTTGAGCCTCAACACTCAATAGTGTATAGTTAGATTGTTTTTGCATTTCAAAACGATTTTGACTTTCTTTTCTGTGTCATGAGTATTCGGTTATTCAGTACTGTTCGTCGAACACCTTTCTCGTGTTACCTCTACACATCTACATGCACGGCGTGCCTACAGTCTCTGTATCTGTATATCTATTGTTATGTTAAGCATCTGTCGGTACCGGCTGGTGTCCTATTATAGAAGAACGGTGTAACGTCGCAGTTCGCACGTCGGCACATACTATAGGTACCTACAGTAGGTATATGGCAATGAATAAACAATATTGCCATACATTATGTTAGAGACTTGTTGATTTTACTAGAAAAAAAAATGTACTGTTTCAGTAATTAATTCATGGAACATCAAATATAAGTAGGTCATGTAGTAAACGTGTAAGTGACTCTACAATCGAAATATTTTCTAGATCTAATATGTGAAGTGTAAACATTTGAATAGCATAAAGTTCTTGATTCGCCAGACGTTGACCAATCGTATTGAAAATAAAATACCTATGTATGGTTAATACCTACTTCGTGTGTTACTTGATAATTTTGTATAGATTCTGCGTAGAATGTCTATTTAATATTATTGTATGTAGTGATAAATTTTGTTTGCATTGAAGAATAATTTTTAGATTAACTGAATCGTTTTGAAACATTATTTTATCAATAGAAAATCTCAGTAACTCAGAACTATGGGAAGTACCCGTTAAAATATACGAGAATAATGTATTATATGTAAGACGTGTTTTGTTGTGAAAATAGTTAATACAGGGATATTAACTATTAAGTTATAAGATGTAGATACAATGTAAGTATTACACATGTATTAGAACACGAGTTGAAAAGTAATCCCATATTTGTTCCCACTGGAAAATAAGAGTTTCATTAATATATTATTCATAATTTTTGTATCGTCTGAATTCATTGAAGTTAATTTATAAATAGGTAATTATACAAGATATATGCACTTAATATCTATTTATACTTATTTTATAATAAAATTTGAATAGAATTATAATAAATATGCGTTATATATATGCCAAGTGCCAATTATCTTACAATCTATTCAATTTAGAAAATATAGTTTGCATATATTATAAAGGTTACGTTTATATAACTTTATATAACACAATAATAATAACATTGCCAAGTTTGATTTAGTATCTTAGTTACATTTTCTAAGTAGGTATGTTTATAATTATATATTATCGTGGCTCACGTGTACGTACATATATATTGTTGTACGTTATGTACATGTGCCAACGGAAACTAGCGATTTTCCGCGCTCGCGCACTGCTCTTTTCTCATATCCGTCCAGTCCGCTGTTTGTTTAATTATTGATTATTATACTCTGATTAAAGCCATAGATACTGATTATCTCTACCTACTGCGATTGAGTATTAACTTTTAAATTTGCAATGTAATGCGCTCGTTATCTAGATAGACAAAAATAACTACATACTTACAAAGTTAATAATTATTACAGTCACAATTTTTCCAAACCTGCTATACTACTGAGAATAATAAATAACTTTAGTCAGCTACTTACTATGCTTGATATATACTATGCGTAACAAGAACGCGATTTTAATGTGATGATTTAAAATATTTATCCTACAAAAATTCCACTGTAATTGGGATAAGTTAGTATGAGATCGTATCGATTTTAATATATGGTACAATATGAAAAATACACACTTTAATTGTAACTGGTTGTTTTCAAGTCAGTTTCGAAATAATAACAATATAAAGCTAGATAGTAAAGACATGAAATGTTTATATAATAATAATAAATTAAGAGTGTAAATGCGAAATTGGTCGACTTATTTAAGCATAAAATACAATCGAATAGGAATTCGACTCTAAATACACAATGAAATGATGAAATCTCTAAAAACTAGAATGACATTTTATCTCTTTTAACCTGGGGTATATATAAATAATGAAATATTAACAATCGTCATAAATAAACAACAAAGAAAATGACAATGTATGTAAATATATCTATAAATATCCACATATTACACGTATTTACTTATTTTACTGCAGATCTTAAAGTAAATCTGAAGTCAAGATTGAATTAGTATTTATGATAGATATAACAAAATTTTACAACTTGAGTATTATAATAAACAAGCTCATGGCCGTCACGGTCCCCATGATAGTCAGCGGCATTGTCAACTGCTTTTTACAGTTATGGTGAATGTAACACTTGATTTGCGTTGTTTTACATAATGATATATGTATACTGTAGAGGAAGGCATTGCTATAAGGAATGGTAGCCCTGGTATCATCATTTACTGGTGCCCCCCCACTCCCCCCTCCAGCCTCCAGCGTATACCGGTAACGCAGGATGCACCTTTCATTATAGTTAATTAAAAAAGTGTTATTTTTATACAACTAGAAGGAATCTAGCAGAAAGATCTACCTGATGTTGCAAATGGGGGCTGAGAACTATGTAATATTATTTTATCTGTGCTGACGACTAAGAATGCCTCTGCATCAAGTAATTTCTCTGCCATATTTCATTCATTCGAGAATAATGTAGAGCAAACGGCTTGTAGTTGAAAATAGAGTGTGGAAACAACTCTGTCTTGCTTTAATAAAATCTTGATTTTATTTTAAATTACGTAGGTGTTTGTTTACGGAATTATTAAACGCATATATATTTAAATACGTAGAAATGAATGGTTTAGTATAATGTAAACGTCTCGTGATGTGTTCAAAGTACGGAATATTATATATTTAAAGTAAATATATTAGTAATAGTTATACTTGGGTAGATATGTTACTGCCATTGTCACGACAACAAACAAAAATACGCAGTGGAAACGACTGGGTTTTTCTAAATACCGAATTTTATTTTTTACTACAGATACTCCGAAATTTTTAGTCTCATTATACCAGCGAGTCATTATATTGGATAAATTATATGGATATAACAATTTGTGGAATTTCGTAATGCATAGTGTCCTTTATATAGGTACATCAATATGTATGTATCTCCCTCGTAATATGATCTAAAGATGTTATAAGAATAAGAAATATTGAAAAGGAAAAGAACGGGCGTTCTTTAATAGGAATATACGTATAATATATTAGGGTAAATAAAAGCTTTGTGTAAAGTAGAAAGTAAAGTATTCACGTAATATTTCACAAAAGAATAAAAGAGGGTGGGTGAATTCGGAAAGGTCTTTAAGATTATTCACATTCGTTGGTAAGTCTTCGTAATATTTCTCAAAAAGTAGTCCCAGAGAATGGAACGTTACTTATTTTCATTCCAGCACATATTTTTGCACTTCGTCTTCATCATTCATACCGTTTATATGAGCTTTTATTTCTATGAATAGAACTTGAACTGACTCAGTTGTTTTGTTGATTAGTGGTATGCCAATTCCATTGTATGAATTTTGATGGATTACAGTACGTGAACGACAATTATTTTTGAACATTGACATATGTATATACCTATACATCGAACATATGTTTCGAAGAACCTAACAATATGTAAACACATAATTGATAAATTTAGTGACATAAAACAATTAGGAAAGTACGTTCCTTCAATAATTCAATTCAGAGAAATAAGAAATATACTAAAATATATCTAAAATGGCAAAATAATTATAAATCAATTTATGATGAAGTAGACCTTCCTATTTCATTATATCTATATACTTGAAATCTATTAATTTTAACGGATAATAAATCAAATTATTAATAATAACTATATAGATGTTATACATAAGATACAGAAATTCCCCTAATTCGAAATTTCGGGAATTCGTCTTCAAGTAAAAATTAAAACTCAGAAATATTATATTCATTCATTCTCTAAAAATGTTATCTTTGTAATTTGGATAATTTATTAAAATGTACACCACATTTTTTTTATTGAAATGTTTTCAAGTAATTTTTGTATACAAAGCGCCTGGTATTTAATTTTTGTTCCTCCGACCCAACTGCCTACGCATAGATGATTGCATTCTGTACATGTTTAAAGAAGTGTCATTTCCTTGTTATCTTGCAACCTTCGGTTCAGTAAGAACAACGGTTAAACATTTAGAATGTTTCGTAAATCCAGTAAAAGTGTAGTGGGCGTTGTGCACAATGCGACAATAGTGCTGACGACGTAATCACCGTTTTCTATCAGTTGCGGTCACAAACACTTCGCGCTCGGCTGCTTGCCGACACCCCATGTTACCATTATTTCATTATTTTTATAAAGAAATATTAATACTTCTTTACCATTATAAACACATGGACATATAATCTATGATAGAAAATAAAATTACTAGAACTAGAATAAGTAGTATTCTGTCTTATCTATTTCAGTCGTCAAACGGCTTGTCTATAAGTATCGGTGAAGGGTCAGTTAAGGCAATACCACGGGGTCAATCTGTGGTGCTGTTTATGTATAAAATGTTAAATATATATCTTGCTAGGACTACGATTGTTATTTTATCCATATACACATGTATCAAATTTCCCTCAAATCCGTTTGATCATGATTGCGTAATACATTTATACAAATATTTTTACTATGTTTGTAGGATGAGTTCATTTCAGAATAAGATTCATGAGCTATATTCTGTAATCATGGTCATATACCTAATATATTCAAATGCCATCAAGTTAACTCATAATAAAGTTTCAGTTAAGTATCAGTCAGGCGAAAGTAGGTAACAACTTTTTAATTAGGTTGGGAACTGTGTGTCGATATCGTCCAACAAATATAGTACATAGTTCATTTATATGCATTAGAATAGGTAAGTTTCTGGTTTTAGGACCAGGCAATCGACATACATGAAATTGAACATATATGTTCCGACATCGCCCGATGGACGGCTTTAATTTTTTTAGTATTACAATAAATATAGTCCATGTTTGTCAATAATAATCATCAGCATCTTAATGGTGCAAGAATTTTAAAAGGGGTTTAAAAAACACAAATATTACCTCTTTATACTATCCGTGTATAGTTGTTTTAAAAGTATTTCTTATAAAGTTGCCATTCAAAGCGACACTTAGTGGAATGCAAATTATTTCTATTCAATACACGAAATAAACATAAGCAGAACATTATAATCAAGTCGCCATCGGTAGGTAACCTTGCACTTTTGCTAGAATGTTTTTATAAACAGTTTGCATGACTGTGTCAGTCGCCAACTGTAGTGATTATCCAGTGAGAACGTGGCAATTGATATGAACAATGACAAACCTCAATGTCTGTATAGGAACATGTATATAATCTATGTAGGTACTACCTACGTGAGTTACGTAAGAGACTGGCTACATGCAAAGGCATCCGCCATTTTACGATGAGCACTTTGATGGTTTTTGCGCTAAAAGTGAGCGGCGACGTTGGCAATGTTTTTGCTTCGTAATGTTAGGTACCGAAGAAATAAATGACAGACTTTTGTAAAGACTTTCCGGTGGTGTTGAGTGCGCAAACTATAAAAAATGATAATGCGGAAAATTACAATTTTACTTTTGTTAGGTATTTGATCTGATCTGCGTCTAATTTTTCTGTACACATATAAAGTTTTATATTGATACTAATCCGTAAATATTTGCCGGTTTATTTGCATAATTATCTACAAATTTCTTACTTATATGCAAATTATGTCTAGATCTCAATAAAAAAAGTTATTCTTAGTGTCAATAACAATGATGCTAATTTACTCTTTGTTATTCGAAGGTCTTGTGTCTCTCATGAAACTAATTATAAACATAGCTTTAAGTACAATTAGTTTTTGTACTAAATGAGAAGTAATCTACAGGATCTATGACCATTGAATTATTTTATAATAATTTGCAGTTATTATTGAAGTCTTATTGTTAAGTAATGTAAAAGATGCACAGTCATTCATCTTGTATTATTAAGTTAGTAATGTCTTTCGACATATTTTACGGCGTATTTTGTACAAAAATAGATGTATTCAATGGCTCTTTGTACAAAAAACATTGGTATTGTTTTATACAGAGAAACCTCATAAGAAAAAGACTGAACTGTTTCAAAGTTCAGTAGCTAAAATATATCATTATTAGTCATTTGATGATTTAAATTCAGGTATTCTTTTACTATCCCTATTAAGTGGATTACTCTTCAAATTTTATCTAAATAATAATTATATATGAAGCAAGACATTATTTAAGTAATTCTGTTTCAGGATGAGCCGTTGCCGGTGGGCAATGCCCATGCACTGCACGGCGTGCCTCCGCCCTCAGCAGCTCCGGTCTCGACGTCATCCAGTCAACCAGTGCTCGGCGACAATCAGGTCAAAGACGACGCACTTAACCACGCCGAGTCTAAGATTGACGAAGACAAATTACAGGTAATTAATTGGTTACTGCCATTAAGACCCGAGGTCGACTTTAAATGTGAGCCAATATCTTAAAATCTTAATTATTTTAGAATTAGTATAGGTTATACTTATCTATTAATTAGCACGAATAAGAGTTACATATTCTAGACCCTAGTCAAGCAGCTTGCTTTGTAGGCCGTATTTCGCTTGAGGGGTGAAGATAAGACAGGGAAGTTAAGGAGGGATAGAGGTATGATATCCTAATTTTCCGGAACGGCAACGCATAAGACGTACTATGGGCGTTATATGGTGAAGTGATATCCGTGGTAGTGTTCGTGTTTATTAATTCAGTTTTTTTTTTAAATAAATCCGGTATTCTAATAACAAAACGACGAGAGGAAATTTGAATACCTTTTATTGTAATATTGTATTGTAAAAGTTGAATACGATGGTTGCCATTTATCATCAGGAGTCAGCTTGTTAGCCATTCCCATATTATAAAAATGCAATGTTAGAATTACATAATGTATACTACTATATTACATAGCGGACTATAGTTAGAAAATTGTATAAGTTGTCACTTATAATCGATATGGAAACATATGTACGTGGTTGCATTTTATTCATACGTTAATATAACATTGCTATAACGTACACAAACATTCGTTGCATAATTCACTGTATATGTATTTGATGAAGCGTGTTGGTGTAAGTTGTGACGTCACAGCTTTCACTGCCGGCCCGGTTAAACGCCGGGCCACCTCCGCCCGGCGCACGAGCCCACAGCGGGGCGGCGCGGCGCGGCGCTAAGGCCCGGTGACAGACACGATTGTTGCGATGCGTGAAAGCGGGCATTACTTATTATTTCTATTATGAACATCGATTATGTACTGTAACAAAACAAATTTATTATGGATAATATTAAGCAATGGTTAATAAAGTATTATAACTATTACCGCAACGTCTAATTATATACAGACACGGGGCTAATTTCAGTAATATCAGCAGAATATGAATAATCATAAAACTGAAGTTTTGCCAAAGAGTAAATTCTATATATGTACATATAAAATTTCTGAATCGTCAGTATATATACAGCATATGTACTGACGATTAAGCAATATTATATGTATATATCTATTTAGTTTAAACTGTATAAATCTTAGAAAAACTATAATCCTTTTTTCTGAATATGAAAGCGATGACGTTTACTAGACTATACTATTATAGTTATTATAAAAAAAGTGAGCTTACAAGCGTCTTTTAGGTTTCTGATTAACTTTCCAGTTATGAATCACCGATAACAAACCAAAGTAGTCTTAGAGACGGCTATGAGTTCAACCTTTGCCATCTGGGATTGTAGCATTCACAATAATTTCGATGATTAACAATGTCTAGCATTTGACTCAGACTAGTCATGAGTATTTGTTTTATATTTTTGTCGTATTAAATTGTCTCCTAAATTCTTACCTTTGGTATGAATACATTATATGAATCTTAAAGCATATATTATATGAGACAAATAAATTAATTATATTATTATTATTAATCCATGTCAAATTCATAAAGCCTATGTTATTATGTTACAAATTGCTTCAAAATGATAAAAATGACATCGTACTAATTCTTACTATAAATGCACACATTAGAAAAAATAAAGTTACAAATTAACAAAGTTGTAGGTCGATTATATTATAGGCTGAGCAATCCAAATGCTGGAAATATTTTCAAATGGAGGGCGGTGGAACAATGGAGCGCGGGCGCATTGTCTCGCGCAGGATATCCGAGCCAATTGTGGTTGGCAAACAGCACAGAACGAGATAAAATATTCTTGTTCTAGCGGATTGACACTACTCAATACTATGATGCTTCATTTTACAACAGACGTATCGAACAAACTAACAGCGCCGATGTGGTTTATAGGTTAGAATAACAGGGAAATACTAGCAAAATTAATATGGAATTATTATAAAATAAAAATATTTCAAAATTTGCTATAGATATTCACGTATTCACAAATTAGAGTCAGTACATATATTCGGCTTGGAGAAAATTATTACGTGGACACGGTTTCATACATTTATAAAATCTAACTAGGTGCTCGCCTCGTATATACCTTCTTCTTGAAACACTCTATCTATTAAAAAAACCGCATCAAAATCTGTTGCATAGTTTTAAAGATTTAAGCATGCAAAACAGCGACAGCGACAGCGACTTTGTTTTATACTATGTAATAATAATAATGATATGTGGAAAAGCCATGGAATGCAACTAGTGTCAGGTTACATTCTTCTACGCGGATAAATAAGCTGACAGTATTCCTATAGATATATAGACATCACAGAGCAATATTGCATTATTGTTTTTGAGACAATATAGTAGCCCCATAGTACTCCATGAATTAGTAGCGGTATTATGGAGCAATTAGTTGAACTTCATAACCTAGCTATCCATTGTCAGTAAAATAGAAACACTTAATTCATGCAAGCGTGATTGTGGCAGACGTAAATGAAACAAAGGTACTTGCTTATGCAGACGACTATGAACAAAGATTCATTCGGGTAATAACTATTTGCAGTTTGCACTAACGAGCTTGTTCTTGTAGTTAAGATTTTCTGAGAAATCTCGTAGAATTTGTATAGTATTCTTGTAACCCTTTCTATATGGCTAATTTGGTGGAAGATAACAGTCATATAAAAAAAAGATATTATTTAGTTCCAACATATATGCTTAAGTCTAGCTTAACTAAAACATAACGTACAGATGATATACCAAATCTGTAGATTCGTTCAGACATATACTTACACAAAAAGCATTATTCACTACATTGCTAAAATATTATAAACTGAAATCAAATTATTTGCATTAATCTGTATACCAGTACTAAGCTTCGATATACATAGGTATGTATAATTAAAAGTAACGAAATTGAAAGTTTTAATACATGTATTATTATTTACTATGTACCACTCATAAATCTGTTTTTAAGTTTCGGGTTTATTTCTCGTAAGTTTATAGTTAATCGAATTTTATAGTAATGTCATCAGCTCTGCCTGGAATCCAGTGATGAATAATTTTATATAAAGTTCGGCAATATTGATCAATAAGTGTACCGATGCCGTGAGTGCTAGCTGTAGTAGAGATTTTTTGTTGAGAAATGTAGTGACTTTAGTTGAACGAACTATTCTAGTCATCTCGCGACCACGGCTAGTGTAAACTAGTCTCTCTCCCGAAGTTTCGTCGGAAGAGGTGGATACCTTGTTTACGATATCTTAATAAATAAATACATATATTATAAATATTTTGTATCGAACGCGTAACTAGGACTCGAGGACTAAGAACCCGAAGACATCTCATATCTTAAGGAGTGGAATATATGTTTACGAAGAAAAATTATATTTCTAGAGATGTTCTCGAGATGTTTCATTTGTATAGTACAAACGAAATATCTCGATATCCACTATATTTCAACTACGCAGTGAATTTAGACACGGGTTTCACACAGCTAAACACTTTTTTCGGATATTTGAATGCGCCGCGAACAATTTTATATAAATTTGTTTTTTGTCAAACGTTTTATTCTTATTATATAACGAAATGTTTGAGGAAAAAGCTTCTATAGATGAGGTTTTTATATTAATGCTTTGTTTCAAGCTATAAGGCTTTATTTGCTGTACCTAGGTATAATCCGGGGTCGAGGCCATTATTCCGCCGTGGTGCGCAGGTGCAGTTGCACCTAACGAACTCGAGTCGCACTAGAAAGTCCTTGCATAATGCTTCGTTTGTACTGATTTCTATGTATAGACATATGTAATATGAAAACATGTCTCCTAATAAGGTTACGGATATGACATAATTAGTGTAGGTTCTACATAAACAATTGAAACTTAGTTAAGAGGTAGATAATGCACTATTCAAGAAAAATAACAATATAACTTTAGAAAATCTATATAAAATACTTATTACAAATAAGAGAATATTTCAATATTTATTTATGTATATATATTTTTAACATAAATAATAGTTGTAACAAAAATAAACCGACTGCTTTGTACCCACATAAAATTAAAACCAATAATAGAGCACGACCTTGTACCGCAGGGGATTAATTCCCGGGCCGTAGCAACGATTATTGGAGCCCTGGGGCATGTTGTGGGTCGCCTGTTGTTATTTATGCAGTAGCCGTTTGTTCCTAAAACTTAGGATATTCTGTTGACATAATGAAAGTATATGATACATCTTAGGTGGACGAATTCTTCTTGGTATAATAAAAGTGATAAATGTACATTATAACAACATCGTCCTGTCTGCGTTAATGCTTAAATTTAGTTTATTATTCAGAAATAATATATTGATTTATTAAACTAGATTGCTTTTATCCACTGCGTGGTGGTTGTTCAAATTCTATATTCTATAATTATATCGTTGTGATTAGTTTTAAGTAATTGCAGATATACTAATTAAATTGAAAACTAATATTGACATCCTACAGTTAAGAGCAGGATGTTAGCGCTGCCAGCATGTTAGTGCTGCTATTAATATTCTTGAAAACTACTCAATGACAAGATATAACATCATTCTAAGAAATTTCCCTATTGACTTAACTTATTTGAAATGTTGTATTATACAATTTTAAAAACATGTCTTTACATAAAGTTATTGCTACATATTTTTTTGTTTTATTTATATAGTTAGTTTACAATTTCAGAAAATTGACGAGGACAACACTAAGAATGAGTCTCCGAACTCCAGCAGCGACGAGAGTTCGGCGGAGTCCGATAGCTCTGCAGAGGAGGAGGACGAATTCGATTCTGCCGTGAGGCCGATGCTCAAACTGCCTATACAGTTTGATCTGGATGAGCTAGCTGGTGCATTCCTCGCCAATAACAATCAGAAGTAAGTGTCATTTACAGATTTGTCGCGTTGTATTTGCGTTGTGATTCATAGAAATAATATGAGTTAGGACAACAATTTTATTTAATTTATTAAAAATACGAGTAATTAACAGAAATGCAATAAAAACAACTGAACTTTTAAATATGGTTGATTTCCATGTTAAATTCTAAACAGTTAGTTTTCAGGTTATTGGAATGGCAAAATTACTTCCGGCTCACTTGATGGTAAGTGATAACCGTCGCCTATATATGAAACAGCACTACGACATCATGCTATCATGTGATGTCCAATCGCTGCTATTCCGGAGGACTAAGAATGCTTCTTATCCTGTAATCGAAATACAAGATGTTTTTGGATTCGACAAAAGCAAACTGCTTTTTACACAGTCTATCTCTAGGAAAGTAATATTTATATTATCAATGTATGAACATACAATAATAATGTGAAATTTAACTGAACATTTCACAATATCTTTAATTTTATATGTGTGTAGTGTAGATTAAATTAATGAGACGAACTCGTCGCGGTGAACGAACTAACGGTAGGTACCTATCTGGAACGAGTTTTATATTCCATACGTGACAACTGTGCAGTATATATTAGCTTGTTTTTTCAAGTACTAAGTTCATATGCAACGCATATTTGTAGACAAATATCATGACAAATACAAAGAAAAAATTACTATTTGTAGATATTATAATAAATATTAGTATATTTTAATGGGATTTCCGAAAAGAAAGATTAAAACACTACGATAAACTTATCAAAATTAAAGTAGAGAAATACATAGGTAATAGTATATAATATATATCTCAAAGTGTGTATTCGATTATGTGTGGATATATACATTATCTTAATCATTATAACTTTGGACCTTAAATCATCCAAAAAACACTATATGTATTTTTTGTTATGTAGTGATTAATGTAATGAATGGAAGAAATGGAGGAGAAATATTCCAATTAAATTATAATTATTACAGTAATATTACAATATTCTGTTTTAAATCCTGTAGTTGCTCATATAGCTATAACACTGTAACGTATGTATGTAATTACATTGCATTAGATATTGATGGATCATGAGCAAAATTTCTTTAGTAGGTAATACTATTTATTGGTGAAGATTATTAGTTAACAAAGGAAAATTATATATGATTAGTAATATGTAAAATACATCTTTCTACTTTCTCAAATAAATAAATAAATGTTGTCAATCAAAATCTATGTAGATCGACTTATACACTTAGGTAGGTCTATAATGAATGTAATAAAACTAATATTATCATGAATTCTACGTACATACTTATCGACGGCTATGTTATTTTTTTGTAGAGGTCGCATGAATTGTGTGGTGGAACGTCGTCGTGAGGATCCTATGGAGAAACGATTCCCCTTCAACATCCTTGGAGCCTTTGCACCACGCAGCGCTCAGGCTGAACGTATCGCCATCATCTGCCACGGAGGAGACGAGCCAAGGTTTGTTTATTCATTATTATAATGATTTTATTTTACTCTCAATATTATATTCTTATTACATTTGGTGACTTGATACTTTAATATCAAATTAGATAGTTAATGGTATAATTATATGCTTTGTACTGACATAAGTTTATATACTTTTGGAATGCTTCCTCATATGGACGTTTGTAGGTTTGTATATTATACATCTAACAAACACCTACACAAAATCTGTCTACCCACTGTTATTTTAATATTTACGATTCCGAGTATAATATATTTTGCTTAGTATAAATACATTGTAATTCAATATACAACGTCTATTTTAGGCATTCGCCGCAGGGTGCGTTAAAATATTACATAATTCAGTTTTTGACGGCTTCATCATCCCGCATCATAATAATAGAATTTTTCATGGAGAATATTGTAGTCTACATTTTTGTTAATTGTAACTAGCAGTTTTCAGCTACTTTGTCCGCTTGATTATAATTGCTCGGGATAAAATGTAACCATATCCTTTTTCATCTTCAGTTACTCATTTTTATTGTAATTCATAAATATCCATAACTTACATGACAAGGTTTACATCATATAGAGCAGAGGTAGAGCGGTGTTTGATTGGCGTCTCTGTCGTTGTTGTTTATAGGAAACAGTTGTGAATTGACGATAGGTTTCATGATTCATGAAATGTCTATTGTGATTTAAGGCCTCTGACTAAATTACTTGTACCATCAATGAAATATAATACCAGAGGGAGAGTGACAAAGTCGTTACCATTTGTAACGCAGACAAGTAGCATTGCATGTATTACTTGTATACTATTGTATACTCCGGTTTCAAAGGTGACATATTGTAGTAATATTTATGGGCATAGAGTTATACAGTTTAATCAATCGGAATGGATGAGGTGTGTTGTTTGATACCTGTTGTATAATCTATTTGTACAGGCTATATGCTACTATCCATAAGGTATCTTCCAAGACGTACAAAAAAAGGTTTAAAAAGTAGTAACTTATATTGTGTTTTAGTATTTATAAAAAAAAATATAAAATAAAAAAATTACTGCTTTAAAAATACATAGAATATTTGCATGCATGCAAATGCCATTATTAGAGTTAAAGACGAATATTATCCCGGGCTTTATTGCGTGTCTTGGAATTCGGAAATATTTATGTGAGGAAAGGAAAGTATTATGGAGACTCAATGAGAGTGAAAGAGTAAATAACGCCCTGGATTCTATAAATATCCATGGTTGTTTACAAAGATGTGAAAGCGACCGAAGGTTATAGCTATCAATCTATGTGTACCTGTATATTTTTTTAAGAATCTTCTAAATTCAGATAACTTAATGCGTTTGGCATATTTAGAAAATAAAAGAATTCATGGATGGACTAAAAAATGGTTTACCTGTTTAAAAAATAGTGGGGCCCAAAAATAAATCAAAAAAATTAATACCACAATGACGCTATCAGTGTTATTCTTAATGTAAACAGCTGAGGAGGTAGTATTTTGATAAAAAGTAGAATAAATTGTTTTAGTGTGACTCGGTACCTACTATAGGTTTATTTAATTCATCATTTAATTTTCGGCCGCGTCGAATTAGAGAGAGGTACGCTCTTCTAGTTGTTGTGGTATTTTTTCATTTCATCCGGTGTCCCTGAACGCTCCCGGAATTTACGTAGGTAGATTTCATGCAGATGTAATAAGTATACCCGATTTAACCAAACTAAGCAATAATTTTAATCTGCCTAATATTTTAAAATTATATAGTAAGGTATAAATATGGCATATAATTTTTAATTTAAAAATATATATAAAAAATAATTACTTACATATTGCTGGGAAAACCGTCTGTTGGTCTTTGATATATTTGTCCTATAGTTTCTCGTAATATAATTGCTTGCAAAATAAATTAATTGAAAAAATAAATTTGATTTAATTAATGTTGTATTTAGGGTCTTTTTGGAATATTTAAATAGTTAACAAATTAAACCAAAATTGCGCTGGTACAGAACTTTATAAACAAAACTTATGTATAGCAGTATATTTTGACTAATCAGTTACAATATTTAAGGCCAAGAAATCAATAGAAGTCTAATATATAAGACTAATACTAGATTCAAATCAAACAAATATTGGTCGTCCTGTTTCAGTTGGCTTACTGTAAATATTAATCCGGTTTTAAACAAGTTCTGTATTAAAAGTAGTTTTTGTGAGTCATCTTCATTTATATAAACAACGGTATAAGTATACAGATATACAAAATTTATTATGAATACAGCAATAATTCATTCTACCTACTAATTGGCGGAAAAGTCCTTGAAACTAGACTTATACGACGAAACTTAAAAGTTAAAAAGACGTTATGTCACACATAGAAGATGTTTGTAGGAGTCTTACTTTATATCATGTTTTATATATATTATAGTAATTTTTTAATTAAATAATTTATCTAATTTATATTTAATAAATACAGAAATGATAAGGTACCATGAATTGTATTTATTCATTTAATATTGGAAAATCCATAGCATATAATATATATTTATATTGAGTAAGCACTTTTTACCTCGATGAAATTTATGAAAAACGGCCTAAGATAACTCGTAAGTTGCTGAAGTGAGTTAGAAAATAACCAGACAGGAGTCATACACTTTGTAATAAATAATAAGAAATAACTTTGGATATACCCGGACTATACACCGCCATCTAGTTGAAAAACTAAACATTTTTATAATATGGATATTAGACAACTGTTAGATATACTTACGTAGGCACTATAGTTTGTATAAATATATGTACAGTATTCATCAAAGCAAACTCACCACCACCACCCACACGAATACAAACAGGCATACTTATGAATACAAATATGTGTATGCGGAAATCAAACCTCTGATCTTTAAAGTGTTATATGCTAAACCAATTCAGTATTGTAGTCTTTGATTATACTTGTAATTTGAATGTCACATGCTCAAATTGATGAAGTTTAAAAAAAAATGGAATAGTAAATTGAAACATTTTAAATCTTGGTTTATCTATCTCTTTAACTTCTTCATTCTTTCTGTTCTTTCTTCTTGATCTGTAGGCATATATGTATACTTAACATATGAAATACATATGTAAACACTGAATAATTTACTATACTTAATATATAAACAATCTAAATTCATCACATATAATGTACATTAAAACCAAAAAATAAGCATACGGTCATGATTAGAATTAGGTTTTAATATATTATACGTATGTGTTTGCTTTTAGTGTAATAGCTATTTGTACTATAATTTCATAGTATGTACAACAATAACTGAACTAAGATAGAGACTTAAAAACCCTATAAGTAATATACTTACTCATAAATCCGGATGTGGAATAAATAAGACTACTTTAAATAGTCGATACTAACGGGCCGCCTCAGCTTCGCCAAAGCTCTCATTTTGTGTATATTAACATAATATATAGATTATCACGGTTTCTAACAGTTTTACAATTTCTCAAATTGCTGCAATGGTTTTACTTTCCTCATAATAAAATGCTCTCCCTATGTATAATTACTATGAGATGTCGACATCGATGGACAATGTCAATAATAAGTGTCATTAGATGTGTGTTTATCAAAAATGTTTATTTGTTCAACAGGCCTGTGAACATGTTCCCGGAGCCACAGTCGCAAGTGTTCGCGTTCCCCTTGTCGGGTCCCGTGCGCCTCCCCCTGAGACCGCAAGCCGAACGCGCTCCTCCTCCGCCACAAGCTGCCGAACCCCGCATGCCTCCATTCATGCCACTGGCTCACCGTCAAGCGCCGTTCCCGTTACCCGTGAGTATCTACCATAATTTTTACTTTTTTAACATCAGATAAATCTACCTTTAATATAGATCTCACATACCGTTCCTTTCTAGTATTCAAGAAGATGTTTATATTTATTCATCTATAGTATCATGAGAGTTTATTCTTTGTGAACCTGTATTATATTTATGCTTGAATCTCGATTACATTAAATGTGAGTGTGGATAATGATAGATACATAACGACAAAAATATAAACCACGGCGGTGACAATCAAGCATACGGCCCATCTGATACCGTAACCTACAGACGCCTGAAACACCAAGGGTGTCGCGTGCGCGTTGCCGACCCTTAAGTAACATACATTTACTTTTTAGACCTTCTTTAAAAAACTAATGAGAATATATATACTTATCTATATATTTCAATATTTTAAGTAAAAGATATACCAAGTCTACTCATACTCATAACGAGTTGACTCAAATTGGTCACACAGTTTTTATGAATATATTAAACTTTGTGTTCTGTTCACCGCTTTAATTAAGTTAAAAAAAAAACAGAACTCTTAGGAATCGTTGGCTTTGGATATGGTATATCTTTTATAATTAAGTCTTTATCTCTTAATAGTACATACGGGTCATAGTGACTGATAATCCTTTGTTTCTAGTAGTGCTTATATACTCGTAGATGAGAGACTACTGTTCAGTCTAAAGAGACTTATGCTACTTTTCGATTAACTAAGCAGTTGTGCCAGTAACTTCCTTAATCTGTTATTTATATAGAGAACTATTAGATAAGTAGTAAGTAGAAGTACTATATTGTATATTTTATTAAATGCGCAGATATTTTACTATGTAGTTTCTAGATAGGAAGACTATTCTAATTTCATGCCTGTTATAAATACTGTATTTGTACTAGATGTAAAATTATAGATTTGTTACGGAGATTCTCTAATTTTCTTCTAATTAAACATGAACAGATTCCTTGAAATATAATATATTCATAGTAGACAAGCAGAGACGGCGGACGTTGTTTTGGCCGGAAATAACAATGCTACCTAACGGAATCAATTGTTTTATTTTTTTAACGTTCTCCGGAGGTTGTCGCCCACTGAGTTCAGGCCGGGGCAATGGGGTTCGTCCCGACGCCCCAACCTTCACCTCCTAGGGGGGTACATATTCCACGTACCTATCTATCCATTAGAAATATACACAAACAATTTTATCCAAATAGCAGTTTAGGAGGAGTTAGAAGATAAACACACGTACAAAAGAATTATATACACATATAATTCTTCATATATACATATATAATTCTTCTTTCTTAATATGATTCTTATTAATATTTATGTATCCGCAATTTTTTTATAATGTGAACTGTAAGTTGTTCTTTGTTACTTTTCGTAACTACACTGCTAATGTAATTTTAACACATGTGGTAGTACATTTAAAATTTAGTATATTTTTTAACAGTATTCATAGATGTCTTTATGATACTAACAGTCCCTACAGTCATGATTATTATTTAATTACGTTATATCTGTTTTCATCCCTGGGCTTAAATCAGAAAAAAATATTTTTTAAAAACAAAAGGTTATTTTATTATGTAGATAAAGGCACCTAGCATTTATAACATATCTGTAAATACGTAAAATAAAGTATATTCTGAAGTAGAATATAATTTGGCAAATCATATTATAATTTATTGAATTTCAGGTTCTTAGTCTTTTTTCTTTTATAGATTTAATAACGTTATAAGTACAATAATTAAAAAAAATAGAAATTTTAAACACCTTTCTCCCGAATAATCATATTTTTTTACAAATTGTAGATAAGAACCATCGCAATCACGTCAGATATCAATAAAAGAAAAACCGTATAATATTTGGTCCATTCTTTTAGGAGCTACGATACCACAAACGAACACAGACACGTTAAACTTATACCACCCTTTTTTTACAACTGTATTTTATACAATATCCGAATATATGGGTTTATAACCTTACAAGTGCGATTGCGGTGCATCTGCGAAATGTTTCTAATTATTTTTCTATAAAAAAGAAATACTGAATGACTGAGAATACTAAATATTCTTAATCAACTATAAGATTAAGGTGAGATTACTATTAGGTACTTAGTTAATCAATCACTTCATGACAAAACTGCATAGTGGTATATCTTAGAAAAAGACACGAGGTTCAATTCACCCGCAGGCAATTGCTCTTAATGTATGTTATTACATAAATTAGACCCTTACTATGAATAAATAAATGTATGAGAAGACTTGACTGTTATGTATATGTATCAATTTATATCTTGTCCAGTTTATCACGTATGTCCATGAATTTGTTCATGCCACAATTAAAAAAGTTAATTGTATAGGAATAATTATAATGATACTGTTAAAGAAATTCTGTTATTTTTCATAATATGTGATTGTAAAATAGTCAATGTATTTACTACTTTAAAAGGACCTACCTTTTTATCTGAATTTATTTTGGGGTTGTAGTTTCCAAACATGTCAATCCCATTATATCAAACCTAATTATAACAAATCTTAAAAATACTAAACAAAAATGAAATAATTATTATTACACGATTTATTAAATTGCTTTTGTCAGAGCACACAAAATTAATACCTAGTATTTGTACTTTGACTATTTTAGAATCTGTTATTATGAAAATTAATTTTCTTTGGCAATTCTCTGTTTACCTACTCCAAGTTAAGGTGTGGTAATAGTCTATTTGCTGTTGTAAAGCAGTTAACATTAAATATTCAGCACTCAAGCAAACATTAGAATAATTTAATTATACTACATAAGTTTGAAAGTTTGTCAAGACATTTGGATGTTTAATATTTGGTTATTTCTTACTCAATCACGCTTAAACGATAGGTAGATTTTAATAAAATTACATTATTTTACTATACACGTGCAATGCCAAGAATGACAGTTGGACCTGAAATAAATGTGAACCTTCTATAGAAGAATCTAAATGATAAATCATATTATAAATACACGCACGCTTTTTATAGCGGAACATACATTCTCTTGGCATTCTAACCCTCTGTTGTAACGTGATTAGGGTAACCTACTTCCGAGTATTCAACACGTGGAACCTACTTGTGTGTTACATTTTGTTTTATATATTTTACAAGTGCGTCCAAATTGCAAATACGGCTCAATGCTATGACGTATAACGAATAGTATGATTGTAGCATAGCAACTTTCTTTTTACTTAATTTTTGTAAAGAGATACAACGGACGTTCTTACAAATGACTGATTCTGAAAGGATTTAACTATTTGATTTTGTTGTTTTTAAAATTGTTATATTTGAATTTTACAATTGAACTTTGTGGTGTCATGTTTGTAGGTTATTCGAATAAGTTTTGTATGTGTGTTGGTTAGCAATGTCTTTTCCAGTTCTCAACCTCTTTTGATATACAGATTGATATACCTACATATTTTTTTATTTTATAATAAACATAATGCAAATTTGCAGACCATTATTTATAATGGCTTTGTCTATTTTTATTTCCATACTAATTTTATCAAGATTGAAGATGAATTTTTTGTGTAGTAAAATCTTAGATGATAAAACTGCGTGTCCCTTGGGATATGCTCTTTTCTCGGCCGATGGGTAACAAGAGAACGATTAAGATTATAATGGACCGATGTCAATCCATCACGCGACCCATTGCGAATGGATTGACCAATTATACTGTCGTATTTTCGAGCTTCTTGAAAGTTATCAACCTGACTTTGGAAACTATTGTATAATGACTAATGTAATGTAGACGCATCCTTTAGGAATTGAGGCAATCTTGATTGAAGGGATTTAATAATATCTTATTATATATATTTTACGGGCTCATTTGTTTTAAGTAAAATACATATTGTTTTATACTAAAATGATTTATATTCAAGACTTGTTGTATCCCGAGAGTGCGTTGACAGTACCATCTGCTGAAGTACCATATGTGAGAATCTCCATGAAAAATAGATGTCGTATATATTTTCTATTACATTCGCCATGAAATTTATTATTGAAAAGGATTGAAGTTAGATTTTCTTATCCTTGAGGAGCCTGCTATACATGTGCATATGCACATATTAGTTAAAATATCGTGTGCATTTAGCCGAAAGAGTCTTATAAAATTAAAAGGATTTGATTAAATTAATAATAAGGATTGTGAAATATCGCTTAAAATACACAAAAAATAATCAAAATACATCTCTTTCTGGAATTGATTTGAAAAGAAAATATTTTGCCTAATATCAGATTTCTTATAACAGCGGTTTATGTTATATACATTTTTTTTGTAAACCAAATTAATTGTGCAGAGCGCAAAATTTATAAAAATCAGGGTCGATCGGTCGTTGCCCTTAACACTGGTTCCTGCAATCGGAGTGCACATGGGCTTATGCAATCACCGTTCGTTCCGGTTTTGACCACTACCGTTTACTTTATATCCTTTTATATATCAATATATTGAGATTATTTTATAATACTATTCAATGAAACTATATTCAATACACGTGACAAACATGGGCATTTCGATAGTTACGAGATTATCTTTTTGTAAGATCTTTTATTTTACAATAATAATATCATCAAAAAGTGAAAGTAGGTATATATGTACGAATTATGAATATTATGTAATTACTTTTTAGAAATAGCAATGACAGCAATATAGTACAGAAAATTAACTTTGCTATTTATTTAGAGAACATCTAACGGCAGCAAGATTTGGAAAGTGGGTGGCGAGGGTGGTGTTGCGGCAAAATTGAAGTCTTCTGAAGTTTGGACACGAAGGCACGAGCTAACGTAAATAAACGTAAACGTTTCCGATCACGGCAAACAAACTTAATAAGCGTAGCCCACGAATATAGACGTCCTCACCTCATGACACCCTCGGAGACTTCATTAGTGTGTACTTACATACTACTTCTTCTGTGTACACTTACATTTCTTACTTTCTTCTGTGTACGTCTTCGTAATGCGTGTTCATCAGATTTATTTAGATTAGCT